CTAGTTTTAATGGTTACTAATTGTTAAAGTGTTTGTAAGTATAGTATTTTAAAAAGTTTTATTGCGAAACTAGTTTAAAATAGTAGTTAACCTAAACCATGTGATAGGAGTTTCGTTTTTAGTTACGAAACCGAAGCGGTTTTTTTACATTTAGCGACATCGACCGCTCGTAAATTCAAAGGTAAACACATTTTGGCTCATTAGTGATGGGCGCGATAAACGAAACAAAATGCAAACTGCGCTACAGTATTACGAAACTACTAACTGACTTTATATGGCGCCTTTTGATATTGACTGAATAGCTAGTTCAGTAATTCTACAGATTTTACACAAGAATAATATTGTCAATTGACAGGGTTCGATTTAAGAGTAAGTAATTCGATAATTATAAAAAGATTTATTTACAAAAAATATTTCTACAGTTAGTTGAATTTATACTAATAACTTGAGTATCTCCTTTGGAAATTAGGTATGTCTTCAAATTAATCTTATAATTGATTTCCATTCTACATATCACTTCTAAACTAAGTCTAAGGTAATCTTTGTACAAATATTAAGTAGTTCTTATCGGGGACTCGGACATCCAAAAGCTTAATTACTTTTATTGAACATATTTATAAGAATTTAAAAAAAAATGACGAGTATTATCTAATATAATTTTGTGAATTTGAGTTTTTAAGTAAATTTCTTAAAGGCAATTAGGAAAAAGCAATAAGCCATAACGTTTAATAAACTCGTAGTAACAACTCATATGTGTCATGCAACTTAATACTACCGGAGCTCGATAATGAAGCGAATGTTTTAAAAATATCACCAGAAGTTTTCTACTTTCCAATGCACTTTAAAAGTTAGTTTCGGTGCAACGACCAGTCGGCGCGATGGGACGATCTCTCGGGTAGCAGATCGAGTCCGCCCAAGGACGTCCACTCCGCTACAGCCTCCGAAAACCTCACAACTTTATTACATACGCTAAAAGTACTATTTTCGTTTGTCACATATCAGGGAGATAATCCCTTGGCCGAGTCGGCAAGAAAAATGATCCTTTATAAAAAAAAGTAAAAAAGCAGCGAGCTAGCGGTTGTTTTATTTTATCGAGCTGTGGTCGAAGGCAACATGGCCGCGAGTTTGGAAGCGAATTATCTCTAGCTATACTTTATAAGATGCTTATCATGGTGCTGGATAAACGAAGCTTAAATAACGTAAAACTTAAGATAGGTAAAGCTTGATACTCAGGGCGCTTAACTGCATACATGGTCGTTGGCGTTAATTGTGGGTTTAAAAACACTCTTTGAGAATTACTCGATACTGACTATCGCTATTAATAAGGTTGCAATATATTATTATTACTACTACTCAAACAGTAGGTTCATGAGTTCGTTACGCGCCGTTCTGTCTACAAGGCAGGTGCTCGCTGATATTTTGACAACGATACTTAGCAGAACCGCCCATTTTTTAAATTTAATACTGTTTTTTCTATATCCACTTGACCCGTTTTTGTACCCACCGATGTTATTTTAATATAAAAAATGACGTTTTCGTTAAAATATCTTGAATTATGTTTAGTATTTTTTGGGTTTGCTTTAATTTGATTATATCTTTGTTAATGCAATAAATAAATAACGACGATAGTATAAAATAAAGCAACTCTTACGCAGAGAGTGGTTGTTGCAACAATAGTCACGTGTGAAATATCTATTCTAGGAATAGTAGGTAATTATCTATTTTTCAAAATTAATTTAGCATTTTAGTAACATGTATACAGTAGAGATATGAATAGAAATTTACTGTGTGGGCATTATACAATAGAAAGAAAGAGTATATTGTTTTACGTCGGGTGCTTGGGTCCGGGGAGTTTCGCTACAATGAACCGCATCCGGGGTCGGGCATGGACATGGAGTCCGTATTACGGGTCCAAAGAGAATATATTAGGTATGTCATTATGGAACTGATACCATCGCGTACCACACCGTGACATGCTTAGCTTTTTATTGTTGTTAATCAACGTCTTTAATTGTGACATATTATTGTAGTATGTCGCTCGAGTAATGCAAAGTATGTATTAAAGAAATAATTACTCATTTGGTTGTCCACTATAGTTTTTATCATTAAATGTTGGTATTTTATATTAATTTAATGTTTCCTTGACTTTGTACGCAAAGACAGGAAAACAGTAAAAAAATGCGCTACCAATTAACTATCCCTAATGCATGAGCAAGTACATCATCAACAGCCTTTTTACAGCAAGTACATATCTGTATAAAAAAATATATGTGTTTTTTTTAATTTTTAATGAAACCATAATAACAATTTTTTTTTTTTTCATATTAGTTAGTAATAAAAAACTGAATACAGTTTGACTGTAATTTTATAATCAACTTATAATTGTAAAGTAGCACTACCGACTATGATACGTCTAAATAAAACGACTTAAAACTTTCATTAGGTGCTTTGCCAGCTTTTAGGATTCATGTAAAAAAATTGAGTTGACTAAATATAATCTGACTGATATAATGGTTAAAGAAGACTTTAAAGAATAATTTAAAATTGTTTGTAATAATATTACATAATATATCACAATATATTTACATAATCACAAACAAAAAAAACTAATTAAAACCCCCCCTTACTTTTAAGTCGTTTTAAAATTATAATTGCTACTTCTATTAAATATAATCTGACAATAACAAATACAAAACTATTCACAATGAAGTGTGCAAAATTGGGGATGTAGTCTATTATTTAATATCTCTTTAGTTAATTGAGATAAGGGTAAGAGCACCCCAGATAAAATAAAATAATAAATTCAGCTAGAGCGCGTGGCAGGATGCTGGTGACAAATGACGAGGTCGCGTGAAATTACAATTATCTCTTTATGCTGGCAACCCTTTGCTCATTATGCAAAGTCAAAAACATTAATTGTAGGTACCTAGTATAAATGATAATTTTAAAATGTACATTATATAATGTACATTTTAATGCAGCGCGTTTGCTTTACGTGATCTTTTGTAAAATGCGATTGTGCGTATCGCAAATACCGTTCAAAAAGCCTGATAGTAAAATATTTCGTATAAACGACAGTTTTTAAATAATAATTATTTTTATATTTCGTGTTCCAAATATAACTCAACTATTTATTTTCTGAAAATCGCTTGATGGTGCAATTTCGACTACAACTCATTAAAGGTTTTATTTTTATTTTAAAGTCAATTGCTAGTAATATTAACTATATCCGTCCGCGCGTTCACGTATCACTTGATGTAGCCATTTTTACTTTTTTGACTCGTAGAATATTTTTTTTTAACTATGTATTTCTGTACTTCTATAGGTAAGCTTTAAGTACTTATTTCAAATTTCACGCTTAAAATGTGTACAAAGTATTCTCTTCACGCATGTACAGATACCGTTATCCGTGAATTTTCGATGAAGATGAATTCGATTTAATAATGGTGCCGATGAATCATTTGACACAACTCAATATGTTTCGAATTCTAGTTACTTGTCAACTTAACAGACCGAAGTTAAAATTAGGTCATTTAATATTAAATAATTTATTAAATATATCCTTGATTATGAGAGTAGGGTTGTTGACAAATTTTCGAAACAGATTTTTTTATTGGTTACTAATTGTAACCCTGATTTTAAAAAATCTAAAACATTTATTAATGAAAAAAATCGAGGGTATAAAGTTAAAATTTCCGCACTTGCATTGAATTTGATTACGTCATTACCCATTTAACTGACAGTTAGAGTGTATTTAAAGTGGAAATGTACTTTAAAGTATAATACCAACTGACAGGTGACAGCTTGTTCGTCGGCTAATGACGTATTGGATCTGGTTGGAGTTTCTGGTCACATTATAATAGCAATTAGTTTCAGCCTTTTTCCGTTAATTTTAGGTGATTTAATTTTTTTTAGCATCACAATTATTATAATTTAGTTATTTTTGATTATAACAACATTGTTTTTATTGGTTCAACACTCATAGGATAAACTGATAAGTCCGCTGTCCGCCTTGTACTTACAATATATTTGCAGGAAGTGTAAATGAATAAATAAATAAAATTATTCGCAACTATTTTGATATACTATGACTATTTTCATATACATTTTAATTCATTTATTTTATGTCAAAATTATAAATAAATCAGATACTGTATAAAATAACTTTGATTGTTCGATTGATTTGAATGCCTATGCCTAAATCTACCGTATTTTTATGTATCCACATGAATACACTGTTCGAAATTTATGATCATACAATTTCAGTTCGCTTATATGTATCAAATATCAAAATAAAGACAAGAAATAGAGTAAAATGTATATTCTTATTTTGCTATTCTACTTTTATTCGATAAGTTTTCATCGGCGCTGTCTATTTCTTATCAAACGTACATCAATATTATCCCTTACTTTCGGTTCATCAGTTTCATCAATTTCGTAACTCAACAAGCCACCATGCGGGATCGCATTATTGCTTTTTTATTAGCTTTTTTTCTATCCCCCGTCTCGCAGTTTTGTTGCGCGTGCGTTCGTGGGATAAGTCGCGATGCGTTTCTGTTTATGCTGGTATTAGCATAATGCACTTTTATACGTATTGTTCACCAATTGTCGCTTGATTTTATAAAATGTAATATGTATGTGAACTTGGATGTGTTCTGTATAACAATGATTTTCTTCCACAATATTTACAGCAGTTCATCATTTTATTCTATCTCACGAACATTGTTTTTCCTTCACTAATAGGCCCAACTTGGAAATATAACTGTAATAACTAATAATTATGAAGAAAAATATTGTGGGTAATGAACTTACAATAGATACATTTACAAAAGTCTTTCTTTTCAATAGTACTCGTAACTTTTATAAGAAATATCTGTCTGTGATTTCTTGTATAATATTTGTATTCGCTGACAAATAGTGAAAATCATAAAAGTGAAAATTAGACATTTACGTATTCTTTTTTCAAAAATAATTTGAAAATATTTTTTTGAGTCGATAAGATGACGAGTGTTAGTTTTCCGCGAATCACCGAACTAATTACCAAGGTGCGACGTCCGAGGCAAAAGGTCATAACTGTTTAATATCGACAATGGCACATTTGCATTCGGGTTTCCGGCGCAATAGCCAAATTATCGTGAAATTTTAACGGTCGTGTGGTTGACCACTTACGTTGTTACAAATCTATTATACATTCATACGTAAAATAAATATACCAAGTATAAAATTTAGTTGCTAATTCAATGCGCTAACGATTGCTATTTCCTTTTTTATTGAGGGGGTTTTTACGAAGCTGTTGTCAAAATAACGTTCGTTTCTGTAGGAGAACGGAAAAATCCTGTACCTCTAGTAATATATGATGGATGGTTATAAGACTTGTACCGTTTATAAAGTGACTCATCCTAACCTTTTTTCATATAATTATCATATTTTTAGAACTTTGCTAAAAGTATATAATTTCAAAACATTGGACAGTCAACAAATATATCCATTACCTATACCCCAATTTCAAAATCATTATATTATTAGTTATATATGACTTTACAAACACGCATGACTAACAAGACATTCCCACAATCGCAGTAATCGTGAATTGGTGCTTAAAACCGAACTCGACATCGATATGCAAATGGTCGTTGAAAGGCATCAAGTGCACTCTGAACTACGTCATTGATACGAGAGAATTGCTCTGACATTTACTGCCATTGTTTCGCCTGTGGATTTTGGGTTTGCATGCCCGTGAGAAATATTCGTAGTACAGTTTATGTCAAGTATGGCAAAATAATAATTCTAAATATTTAGATAACAAGTGGCATAATACTAAGGTACATATTATAGTATCGTACAGGGATTTTTAACGATCATAAAGTATGTATCTTTGAATTTAGGTTTTATAAAATCGCTGCACAAAATGAACGATATCCATTGTAATAAACTTAAACCAATTTAATACCGCTAAAGAATTTTTCGTTTACTAGTCAGATTCTTGATTCTTTTTACATTTTAACCACTTTCAAAAATACAAAAGAGCAGTTCCTCAAATCGAATGTATTTTTTAAAATATAATAGTAATTAATATAATAGTAATAGTAATAAAAATATAGGGTATGAAATATCGGAACTAAGTAGTTACGATAAGTGCAGGTGAAACTGCTAGTAATAGTTAGTAAATGATAAATCCTCTTAATATCATTAATTATATGAGAGAACATCTAATTTATAAGACTGGGTATTTGTTTTTTACCTGTTTAAAAAAAACCTGTAGTGGTATAAACAATACATAGAGATGCCAGAAATAAGTTTTATACTTTAAAAGTACCTTTAGTTAGAAGAAATATCATATCATTTTATGATATTTTATGATTATATAATCTTTTTTTTTTCACTTTAGTCTATTTTAAACCAAGTCGCTTTCAACAAGTTATTTGTTTTATTAACCGTTAACAAGGCCTCAACCGTAAACAAGAGTGTTTTTTGTACAATATAATAATATTTTTTTTTTTGTACATAGTTTTTTTGTACAATACATATCTTCCCTAATATTTATAATTTCTATGATGGCACTGTCCTCGTGTCCCGTATCATCTTCATTTGATTGCTACAATATTAACCCTTATTATGAAGATTGACGCTTTATTCACTCAATGTGGACGCTAAATTTAATGCACGTACAATGGAACTTTTATTTATTAAAGCAATTATGAATTGCACAGAACTGATTGCACAAATTGGCCTATATTTTCAACAAATATATTGTCATACTCATTTCAAACATTTTTACATGTTCCTAAAATAAATAGATATGGAAACCAAAGCGAATTGCAATGCACGTGATAGGTCTTTACCTTAATTTATGAAAAATATTCATACAAATAAAAAGTTATTTCGTATTTTCTATGAATTTTATAGACTTCATTTACAGAAAGCAATATTTTAATGCGAATATTACGTATAATATCAATCTTTCTTTTTTGTTCCTGTACCTTCCTAATTTAAAAATCTTTTTAACCGACTTCCAAAAAGGATGATGTTTACCGATTACTCGAAGACGCCTGAACCGATTTGGTTTTTTTTTGTTTTAAAGGGTATACTTTCGCAAATTTTAAAAGAGCGACTAATTTTTATCAAAAATAAAATGTTGTCACTTAAATCAATTTAACTTGTATAAACTAGAAGATAACATTTAAATTGGGTTACAAGTTCTTGAAATTAGAACGTATTTTAAAATAAACGTATTTATACAAATGAAGACGAGTCCCCCAGGTTTGGCGGAAGCCAAGCTTCACTTAACAAAAAATATTGCACACGCAGCTTGGTCTATTTTTGAGTGTATTTTGCGCTATTTTGGCGTTCCCTACGCAGGCAATGTGTCAATGACCTCGTTTGTATGCGTTGTTCACGCACTTTTGGGATTTTTTGGAACAGTCATGCGATAGAGGTAACGCTTTTGTAATGAAATTAATAACTAGTCCGGTTTTTCTATAAACTAAAGTTAGTTTAATTGCTACTGCAATTTTAAACAGTTTTGTATCAATATTAAACAAATAACATTATTTTGTGTTTCACCTATTTGCAATCAAAGTTTTATATGAAACTGAATAAATTTACATATATTTTTTAAATAAGTACTTAGTCTCACTAATAGCAGTTACCGTGTTTTTAAAAACACTTGCACTTAACAGTTCACCGCCAGTCGTAGGCAACCCCCTTTGGCTGCTAAGACTTTCTTGTTGGTACCCGGAATAGACAACTATACTGTTGCAACGTGTTATTGTGGGTAAATCAAATAATTGCTTGTATTGGAGATTCTCTCCAGGCAAGATCTCCAAATTCGATCAAAATTATGTTGTACAAAGCCTACCATTGAAACAATTAAATTGACATCAAAGTATTGGTTGCATATTGCTAATCGCAGAACTTGATGTATAACTCAGGTTCTCGTATAATATTAAGTACACGATGCGAAGTTCAACGTTAACATACAAAGGCCAGCTCAGGAGCGGCTTTATTTTTTATAAGCCGATTTCAGCTTTATTTTATCGTGTTGACGGTGTTCGGCGGCGCGGCCGTGGCGCGCCTTCGCGATACACACCACCACAATTGCTGTATACATGCGCTCGCGCACTCACGCACACATAGCCGCTCGCCCTCCTCAGCGCCCTGCAATTCGTCGGGTGTAGAACTCCCCGCGCCCTCCCGCCCGCACGCAATTGCACTGCACTCCGGCACGCTGCGCTGCGTGCGTAAAAAGCGCACACAAGAGGCGCGGGGCGCGGTGTGGTGACGGAGAATATTACAGACCCGCCACGACCGGCCGCCTTCTACTAACACAGTCACTGCTAGACGCTCGCAAGAGCACACCGCCCCCACACGTAGGGCGTAGACAATATCGCTATTTTCGCGCGAAACAACCCTGAATGTGCTACGAACTTTTAAAGTGCAAGTGTCTAACTAATCTCATGAGTTTTTCGAAATATAAAAAATTCTTTTGACGTGCAGACTCCGGATTATTTATCAAGAGGTAACTTTTATTTAGTTTTCAAAATTTATATTTAAAATTCGTAGAAGTGCTACGGTTTTTGTAGACATTGGTCACTGAAAATAATTCTTTGTATTCAAGATTTTTCTCGATTTTGAATGCTGCCAAACACATTCATAGTCGAGTAATGTTTATACTTGTATAGAGGTGTATTTAGGAAAGCTGCTGAAATACAAAAATTATAGGCACTATTGAATGAGGGAATCGGAATAGCTGCTTTCATCGGTCCCCTAAGTTTAATTGTACCTGCCGAATAAAAGGTAAAAAGTCAATTTGGCAGTATGGAAGGGCTATAGAGCGTAATATGTAAATGGGGAACGGCGGTGCAGTCGAGTAGTCGCACTACACCGCGACGCACGTCCGTACACGCAGTTGTCGTAGAGCGGTGCGCATCGTACGCAGGTTGCGCGACGCATTGTTAATGCAAGGATTTATCAGTTATCAGTCTAGTGCTTGTATGTGAAAATATTAAAAAAAAAATGTATCCAGCGTCTACTTACGAGGGAGTTATTCCAGGTATATTGTTTAAAGGTTAATCTTAGTTAACACAAGTTTAAAACAACAGTTAGCTTAAGTTCATTAATTTATTCCAATTATATTATTAAAGTCTGCGATAGCACTACAAACTTTTTACAGTTGAACTTAATGTATGCTAATAGGCACTTAAAAAACAAAGTTTTAAGTTCAGTGACCATAATTAACTTATTTTCTACATAAATGTCTGTCTAATGCATTTATGCCAAAGATAATTGCTAATATTTAATCAGTCGTTAGAAAATATGGTTAGGTACTTATATTAAAAAAGAAATTTGTCTTTTAACTAATCTTTAAGAAATTTGAGTTTAAATTCCTTCTTGGTAAAGATCAAAATGAAATTTACGCAATACCTATCTATCTCTATGCTATCTCTGTCCCTATTATTGCCACTGAAACATTTTGTTTCTAGCGTTGGCTGATTGCATTATTTTTCTTACAAATATTGTTTACTTCACTTTCAGAATCACATCTTAGAAAAATGGGAAGCAACGAAGGACCTCAAACTTTTTGTTTGAAATGGAACCACCATAAAACGAACTTAGTGGAAATTCTAGAAGCATTAATAAAAGTAGAGACCTACGTGGATTGCACGTTAGTGGTGGACGACCAGGTGACGTTCAAGGCCCACAGAGTTGTGCTAGCCGCGAACTCCCCATACTTTCAATCAATATTAGCTGATGTTCCAATGGACCACTGCAGCATTCTTTTCCCTGGTGTGAAGGATTTCGAGATGCGCGCCCTTCTCGAATATATGTACACAGGTGAGGTGAACGTCACTCAGGCGCATATACCACATATCATGAAAGTAGCAGAGCAGCTGGAGGTTAAGGGTTTATTTGACATGACGGAGTTGCGAAGGCGCCCGGGCAGTACGGAGCGCACTCCAGCCGCATCCCCTCCACGCGTTGTACCCGCCGCACCCTCCAGTGTGTCCCCTCCGGCGCCCGCGCCGCCCTCGCGATGGCCGCCTCCACCCGCAGCTCCCGCTCTCTCCGCCGCCTACGACTCTGCTGATATGAACCCGCTCAAACGTAAGAAACTCTCTAGTATGCTGGCCACTCGGGACACACCAATTTTAAGAAACGTTTTAGCTCAGACAACCCCTGTTGATTCATCTCAGCCCATGTCTTTAGTGTGCCACCCTGTCAATCAACATGCACCTCCGCGCCTGCATTCAAATGGATCAGCACATGAATCTGAACGTGCTCCAAGTCCACATCGGGCTTTTGAGTACCGCCCTCGAAGGCTTTCTTCTCGCGCTTCATCACCGCATTATCATAGATCAGATCGATCTGAAGATGCTCATTCACCATATACTGAGCGATCATTTGAAGATGAGAATCAGCGCACATTTCACCCTTCTCCTCCACCCACAAATTTTCAACAAGATGTTAGAGCTGGCCTTGCACCATATGTTCCACCGCAACAAAAGCCAGAATGGAAACGGTACAAACAATACACAAGGTCAGATATTTTGTCTGCTATCGAGTGCGTGCGTAACGGAATGAGTGCATTACAAGCGTCACGTAAATACGGCGTTCCCTCACGTACATTATACGATAAAGTTAAAAAACTAGGAATTACAACCAGCCGGCCGATGAGCCGAGGAGTCAAGAGAGAGTCAAACGGTGCCGCATTCCCTTATGGTTTAAGCGGCACTGGAGGTGCTGAAGATGGGAACCCAACCACGCCTCTTATTGACCCATCATTTCTACAACAAGCATTGGAAGGCGCTACAAGAGACGGTGGAAGAGAAGCTCTGCATGCAATGGCGCTGGCCGCCGCAGCACATGCAGCTCTTGCGCCACGTACGCCTCCTCGATCGCCGCCACAATCACCAAGGACACCTCCACACGATGATGATCACGTCGAAGATCTGTCAGTCCCTCGTCGGCGTGATTTGGATCAACCAGCAGGAGTTATAGTTCCACCGCGAAACTTTGCCTTGGATTGCGGTAGCGAAAGGGATTGAAAGATGTATATTCAAAACACGTATGTAGTTATGTTGAATGTACATTCGAAAAGACTGACTTAGGCGTACAAAGTTAGAAGTAAGATTCTTAATGATAGACTAATCTGGTAGGACGCGCCGCGCGCGCACCGCCAATGACCGGGCGCTCCGGCCGGGCGATTGCAATGGGCCCCGCGGCCACTTTTCTTCTACCTCTTTCCTTCTCTATTTATTTCAAAGCGTCATTGAACCCTGAAAACGAAATCAAATTTCCGTTGGATGCAGGAAGACGCCTTATCGTGATTTTATTTTTGTTTACACTTCTTCTTTAGTTTTTTGTTTATAACATTTACGTCTTTGTTGATAAATAGCAAGATAAGTTAGCTTTAACTAGCATATAGTTTTGTCTTAAATTGGACAGGTAACTTTGTAGGGCCGAAGGGCAAGAAGGCGGCGCCGGCCATGCCGCCGCGCCTCGGGACAAGTTATGTGCAATTTTTTGTCCGCGACTGTGATGTTTATAGACTGAAATGCCGCTACTACCTCACGCTCGCTACAGCTACTCTAGTCCACCACGTCGCGCTATGCCATAGACACGTGAACTGATCCAGTACACGATACCTACACTAAACTAAAAACTTGCGTGCGACGTGTAACGCTCATACCATCGCGAATAGCGACTTATATTCATATTGAACTGTCAAACACATTGTTTCCTTATTTTACGGGTTAGATTAATTTATTTGTTCGTCGATTGCCATAAATGTTCGTTGTTATATATCTACTTGTGTTCACTATATCCTCAATATAAAATGTTCTGCACAAGCACGGTGGTTCATGTTAGACATAAGCGATTTCATTACACTTAGTTAAGAATGCTCAATGTTAAAGTTAGTTTTGTGGTGAATAATGGGAAAACTGAAAGCGGAAAACCGTCGCGATGAGTTGTTGTGAATACGTAAAAAAGTCTAGTTTATTTTTAACACCTGATCTATGGGTGTAATGCTGTGTGTCTCGCTCGTTAATATATGTAGGTAGATAAAAGCCTTGTTCTATAAAAATTATAAGTAATGTTAAGAACTCAAATCATGTACAAAGAATGCACGTTTTAAATTTTGAATAATGTCGTGTAATTATCACCGATTTTATTATGTTTCTTGAATTTTCTTAAATTAAAATCCTAAAAATAAACACTTATAATTTTATAATATTCATAAGTTAAGAAATACATTACTTATTATTTGGTAATTGATTAGAAGACTGATTTGTTACTTTAGTCTAGTTTGAAAATGCCATAGATACCTACGAATATATCTACCTTAATTTTACAAATGCAAATTGTAATTAAGTTAATCACGGTGTATGGTGTGTGTAGAATCTACACTTCGGTAGGTTTCACTATTTTGTGCCTTTGTTTGTTGTAATTAAAACATAATGTATGTTAGGACATTCCAGTAGGTGTACCTCAATACTTTCTCTGTTGAACTTCAGGCGAGGGATCTTTCCACACTGATGTGTGCCTGCCATATTAAAAAAATACCTCCCGTTTTTGTTAATTCAAATGTTATTATCAAATTATTATATATCCACTTTTGTGCCTAAAAATATATGTTATTAAGTACGTTATTGCACTATAGTTCATGAATTAAGTTGGGTTTTAAATATTTCATATGTACTTTAATATGTAGTTGATATTGTATGTATACACTTAAGTTATATATTAGATTGAGTTTGTTTATCTCGTAACTACATATTATAATAGTAAGAACTCTATATTTACAGATAATATAATGTTACAAATATAAATTAAACGTTTCATATCACTACGTCTTTTGTTACCTTTTCTTCAAATCTGCGACCACGTACACTTAACGCCATCTAGTGTTAATATCTAAGTACTTTTTTGCAGCACAATTCTAAATCCTATTCCTAATTCCATTAATCATCCATCATGCCATCTCTCTAGGACTAGAACTCCGCTCTAGGAATATATCCTGTATCGCGGGGTATTATACAAAGATTCATTCAGACAATTCACAAAGAACACCCAAACTCAGAAATTCGTGCAGTCAAATTCAATTAAATTCCTTAAATATCTATCTTAAAATGTATCTATACTTAGGGGGCGTCGGTTAATTACGTGAGGGGTTTTCGGCGATTTTCGGTGAGATGTCGTGAGTTTTGATTCAACCATCTCCCTCATCCCCCAATATCACGTGAGATTTTTAAGAATGTGTTTTTAGTGTAAAGGCTGGCAGTGGCGCGTAAACAAACGACGGGCTACCATACCATGATAAATATTATTGTAGAAAAACTTGGGCATATTTCCGTGGAGGAACATGTTTTACTTAATTTAACCCAGTTAACTCGCAATGTTTCTTAAATTTTCATAATTTCGTGATAACGTGTTGCAATAACATTTCGTGTTGGAATAACATTTTACTTACTTTGTAAAGACAAGAAATAGCTACCTAATGTAAATTATGACGATTTGCCTTTTGATTGCTCGATTCTTTTCACATAAGTGTCGAACTATCTATTGGTTTGTGAATTGTTTACTATATATATATATATATTTCACATGGATAACATGCACATCGTGCAATAAAAAAAAAGTAATGAATCTTAATTATAATCGCGGTTAAGCTAATTTGCACACCTAAAAAGGCTCGGAAAGTTCAAAAAAAGAATTAAAAAATTTACGGCACTCTGTCATTGAAAGCGCCATCTATCTGGTCAACAAATAACTACTTGATACCGTAATCCTCAACTTAAAATTATTTATCTATACATACATCCTATACATACTACTACTACAAATAAATAAAATTGGAGTGTCTGTTTGTAATATTAAAAGAACCGCTTTTTACTAAATGCATATGTATGTTTACACGGTACATATGCCAAAATAACATTTTTTTTCAATTTTTGTCTGTCTGTCTGTCTGTTTGTTCCGGGTAATCTCTGGAACGGCTGGACCGATTTCGACGGGACTTTCACTGGCAGATAGCTGATGACATAAAGAGTAACTTAGGCTACTTTTTTTAGACAAGCTTCGCCCCACGGCGTTGCCCGCGGTTACAACAACAAACGCGGGTAACACCGCGGGTCTCAGCTAGTAATTACTAAATGATGTGATTTGATTTCATGTTCAATTAATGTTGATATAATATGCTTAAATTAGTTAAGAATGCTAGCTAGAATAGCTCTATTATTCAGAATTATTTGGACTTTCCACTATCTATGGGTAGGTATAGTTGTGTGTGTTTGCGTCAGAGTGAATACCCAGTGCTTTGTTGCATTCTATATTTTACGCTCGCTTACAAAAGCTTTAAAATGTCTTATACATACCTACAAAAAAAAGCTATAAGTAAACAACCAAATAACATACACATGTTACACATAACATAACTTTATGACAATGATTAAGTTTCAACTTTATATAAAGTGAAAAAACTTAAACAGGCTACAAATGTAAATTTTCAGTGTAGTTAGTGCAAAATTTTAATGTATATATATATATAGTATATTCTACTACTAAGTAGAATATACTATATTTAATAACAAGTAACTGTATTTTAATACAAAAAATTGATATAAATATAAAAACAGTGCTATCTAGTGTTGATGATTCAAAATACTCTTCTTCTTTTAATGCTTCTCCGACCAGTGAAGGTTGGAAGTCAGCTTTTTGTATTCTTTCTTGCTTTTCACGAGGCGAAAGAGATCGGCAACACTCGCGATTCCCGTCCATTCTTTGATGTTGCGTAGCCACTACTTTTTATCTTTCACGCCTAATCACGTGCCCAAGATATGCAACTTTTCTCTTGTGACGGTCTCCAAAAGTTGGCATTTCTGGTTAACGAAAAAAATTTGAGAAATGTTCTGTTGTTCATTACCGTAAAGTAATTTATTTACATTCACAAAACGCCATCTGTATACATATAACAAAAACTTTCAGTGAGCTAAAAACGAACTGCCAAAGAGTTTTGGGAGATTAACTTCTGGGAGTTCTCACGTGACTTCATAGAGTGTGTTGAGAATAAAGGTAACGTGTCATAATTTTTCGAAATAATACTACTACATTTTGTATAATTTAAATCAAAGAGTATATTGCATCAATTTTTTTATTTTTAATATTGCATTAAACAACTTTTCAATTAATAAACACTTTTCTGGAATTCAGTTTTATTTTAATAAAAATCTGTTTAGGAATGCATCCACATTTGACGTCATATCGAACCACCTATTTCCTTTCTTTCTATTGGTCTAGCTTTAACATCAGACATGTGTCAATCGCAATGGTTACTAATGCCAAAAAACGTAAACAAGTGTGTTTTTATTGTGGAATATTACGTTAAATAAATTAATAGGCATCAAAATGGACCTAAAAATGGATCAGGATGATCCATTTATGAATTCAAATGTGTTTAATGTCAATGACATTGCCGAAATCGAAGGTAGGGTAACAAAAAAGTTTGGTTAGAATGTATAAGAATCTTGTATCGCAAATATATAAATATTTCGTTTTCATTTTTAGATTTTCTCAGTGGTTGTGATGGAGATTTCATGAGAACTTTAGAAGACGAGTTATCTAGAGTAGATAATGATCCACTATTACTCAGTGTTGACACAAAAATTAAAACAGAAGTTGCTACGCAGCCTCAAATTTCACCATGTTACAATCCTACTGGTAACCCAATGGTTGCTCAGTATACCCACAGACCTAAACCGCAGCCAGTTACCACTCCGCAAGTGAAGAGTAGCCCTGTTCAAGGCGTTTACGCCAGAGAAGAGAGCTATAATTTGCGTATTAATGATAATACAACTTTGCCTGACGTCACCCAGCATGGGCAAAACAGAATACCATCTCAAACCCCCATGATTGTTCAGCAGATTGTACAGAGTCCTCTATATGTTAATTTGGGGGCTACAAATTTACAACAAACACCCGAAGGCAGGACATCTTTATTACAACTAGATGGGACAACTCAGGTGACTCATCCTAGTAAACCTAAGCCTGCATCAAACCAGCCTCTTATAATACAGAATAACCCCAAAACAGTGACTCCACTTATCATAAAAACTTCTGATGCAAGTTTTTCTCCAGTTGTGTTGCAGTCAAATATTAATGCTGAGGCACAAACTTTTATATATACAAGTGCTCCTGTACAAGGTAAATAGAATATAATTAATTAATTGTTCAATATTCCAATTAGATATTCTTGTTAGAATCTTTTTCACATATAATTGCAAAATTATAAAGTTGTTGCATCAGCATAGATATAAAAATATGACTAATGTTTACTACATCAAAAAAATATTTATAGATTTTGTATGAATGCTATTTGTTATTTTTAACTAGGTTTTTCTTATGACTTTGGTTAAGTTGATTTTTACAATCCCAACTGGCCTGTTAGTATATGTATATAATCCTGACTGCTAAGCTAGAGATTATGGGTTTGATTCCCACTTAGGACATTAAGCATTTGTTCTGTGTCTGGGTGTTATTTATCTATACTATGTATGTATTTAGAAATATATAGGCTTGCTTTTTAGCAGTCTGGTTACTATAGTACAGGCTCTGCTTATTTTCTGATCAGATGGCTGTGTGTGAGATGTGTGATTCTAATACAATTTATTTATTTAAAATAATTAAGATCAGACTTGTATCTAAATTTCATCCAAACCATTCTGATTTGATTTAGTAAGATAATGTATGCCTATGTTCAATTAAGTGTTTTTCATTTTCAAAAAAGTTTAGTTAATATTTCTAATCTTATGTTTTGTATTATTTTAGGAACAACTCAAAACATTTTTACCAATACTAAAGGCACTACGGAAAATAGACCGTTACACACATTTTTCAGCAGTAACAATGGACCAACACTTTTAACTGGTATACCAGTAGTACTACAAGAAGGTAGTGAAAAGATAGCTTTAAGTCAGGCACCAAATATGGGAGGTATGCCAAAAGTAAAGGAAGTAAAACGAAGTGCTCACAATGCAATTGAGCGGCGTTACAGGACTAGTATTAATGATAGAATAGTTGAATTGAAGAACATGCTAGTTGGAGAAGAAGCAAAGGTGAGTATTGTTGTAGTATACAAACAACTGAGTAAAAGTCTTGTTTTATTAAAAGTGTATCACAATAATGAAAATTCTCACTAGATAACATTTTTGACTGATAGGAATTGTCTACAACCATTAAATAAATGTTAATGCTACCAATATACATATTTTAATAGTATTAGTTTGTAATTGTGTGAAAGGGACCATTGAGTCAAACACTGTTTATGTATCTACTTTTATTATGAGACTAAATGGTAAAGGTGACGTAACATAGTGATGTTCTTAAACTAACAATTTATTTTAACACATCGTTCATAAATATGTAGTAGAAAACACACAGAAAAATTTATCTTTTTCTTATGGTTATATAATTTCATTACACATGGTTTGCACATACAACACAAGAAAATGCATCAAATAAACATGTTTATAGTTTGACTAGCTGACCCGCGCAACTTCGTCTGCGTCTCTCAATAGTAATAAATTTTCTCCGTTTTTGAAACATTGTTCATTGGTGCTCCGCTCCTATTGGTCTTAGCGTGATGATATATAGCCTATAACCTTCCTCGATAAATGGGCTCTCTAACACTGAAAGAATTTTTCAAATCGGACCAGTAGTTCCTGAGATTAGCGCGTTCAAACAAACAAACAAACAAACTCTTCAGCTTTATAATATTAGTATAGATATGTATTGTTGTTGTATTGTATTGATAGCTTTGAATTCGAATAAATGATGAAACAAAACCTTTTATACCTAAGTTCCACTTTTTTTTGCCCATATTCAAATTAATAAATTAACATGGATGTTGGGTAAATATCCTATTTCTGAATATGTAACAGTAATTTAAAAAATTATGATGAATCAGTTTTTAGAAACCATAATATTATTAATTTTTTATAACACTATCTCTGAAGAGGAGACTCAACTAATCAAATTTAATTTAGAGTAGGAAACAGTAAGCAACAATTAGTCATAAACGCAAGATAGGTTAAATTTTATATACATATTTAATTGACTTTTAATTTCTCTTTTTTATATTTCAGTTGAATAAATCGGCAATATTGCGGAAAACAATAGATTATATTAAGTACCTGCAGAATCAAAATACTCGTTTAAAACAAGAAAATATGGCTTTGAAGCTTGCCTTCCAAAAATCTGGAGTGAAGGAACCACAGTTTGATGTCACTTACACACCACCTCGGAGTGATATCTCGTCGCCGTCGAGTTCTCCACATGGATTTGATAGCGATTCACCTTCATCTCCTGAATATAAGGTAATTTTTTGAGTCTTCGCAATGTCATTTATAAGGTCACCATGAAAAAATACGGTACTTGTGCTTCCTATGATGAAAGATTTTGCTATAATGTTTTAAATTGATATTCGCAACAATAATTTAATAATTGTGTAATAAGCATTAAATTAAATCGGCATCTTTTCTACTTTCAGGTTGAAGATAAATATTCTACTAAGATTGTAATGGGAATGGGAGATCATTCTCGCCTCGCGCTATGTGCGTTTATGGTGGGTTTGATAGCTTTCAATCCATTCAGTACGTTCTTCGGCAACTTAATGTCGGAGTCGTATGTGACGGACTTTTCGGCGAGAGTTGATCAACGGAAAATATTGGCAGATGATGGTTTTGGTAAGAAGTAAAGTTGAATAAAAACATTTATGTAAATGTACTGAGTAATACTTAATTACTTCTTTATTAAGGCCTTTGATGCCAAAGATATTAGAGTTTTTAAAATAATAAATACTTACAATGCTATAACTTCTAGCCAGCTATATTCAATTACTTTCAACTAGCTGTACAACAACCAAAATGTGCCACCGTGAAGCAAGGCGGGGGCCTTGCTTAGCTGTGGCACAATTTGGTTACATTAATTGGAGGTACAAAACTGACACGAAATTTTGATAAAAAACGTTTTTGAAGCGGTTTGTACATTGTATCAAATATTTGAGTTCAATGGATGCATAACGTTTTGAGTTGTTTTTGAAGCGTCCACAAACGAACTTAAATTTTTACTGACGCCCCGCTGCCGCCCGGGCAGGACGTACGGCCCGACTATCGATTTGTCCCCCCAAAAGATATTGTATTGTTCCAGAGAGCTTCGTAATAATCCATTATTTTTTGTAATATATGTAAAAGATAAAAATAATTACTGTGGATTGTCCTTAGATGATAGATATATTCTTTGTAGCTATTTTTAAGATATACAATTCTGTATTACATTTTTTTATCTACCTTATAAGGTTCATCCAGCGTTTGCAATGTAAGCACACAAACATTTTTACGACTTTACATGACAAATCTCTTAAAATTCTCGAATTTCCACTAGTATAATGTGCATATATTATACATATAAACCCGCCTCTTGAATCACTCTGTCTATTGGTAAAAACCGCATTAAAATCCGTTGAATAGTTTAAAAGATCTAAGTGTACAAGGGATAAAGAGACTTCATTTATATGTTGTAAAGATTAAATATTTTAAAATACTTTCTTATGTTATAGAGTCCAGTGGAGTATCATGGGCCACATGGCTTTTCACAACATTCTTCATTTATTTTATCAATTTCTTCATACTGGGAGGATGCCTCGTAAAGTTATTGGTGTATGGAGATTCTGTTCCGAAATCCCAGTCCAAAGAAGCTGGCCTGTTCTACAAACATAAACGACAAGCTGATAATTTTCTGAAAAAGGTAGGATATATAATTAATCTATTAACTCGGAAACCTTGTACCTGGCAAGTTTTTTTTTTAAAGACAGCTCCCGCACTAGGAATATATCCTGTGTCGCGGGGGACTTTACAAACATACATGAAACGGACACAAAGAACACCCAGACTGTGTTGAAGGATATTTTCTTTAAAATGGGTGTTGGAATGGTGTTAAATGAATGAATGAATGATTGAATGATGGCTGTTAGAATGGGTTCTTATTACTTGACATAAAATTGAACCAAACTGAGACACCCATTTCTCACAATGTCTCGAATACCTAATTTTAGTTTTCCAGCAGCTGGACAACTATTTCTACATCAACTCTAGAAGAGATTTATATAGGCAAACAAAAGCTAATCATAAGCTAATCATCAGATGGCATTTACCATTGATATATAGGTACATATGTATATGTTTATTAAGAAAACCGTTTAAATAAATTAATTTATTAGCTTGTAGGCCTCGCAATTTAATACAAAGTTATGATTGTAAAGTGAGGAACAAGAAAACCTTCTATAAATACCACTCCTAAAAATCGATGGGATCTCGACTCTTGTAGGAAAAGCATATTTATTGGAAAATATTTTTTCAGGGTGATTTAACTAACGCGAGACTAGAGTTACATCGAAGTTTGGCGATATGTGGCAAGAGCGTGCAAGGCGGCTACGAGGGGCGCGCTAAATATCCGGCTCTTATTGCAGCTGTGCTCAGGCAAATTTTACAAAGGCTACCGTTTGGCGCTTTTCTGGCAAGGCGTGCAGGCGACCTTTGGAGTGACAGGTATTAAGTATTAACCTACATATTTTTCATAGACATAAATCATAAAAATATAGTTCTGAGAGGTGTATTTTTTTAGCCAAGCAGAATCTGTTAGTCACACAAATGCTTATGTATTAACTTTTATTGGTAAAAGTTGATACCAGGCCTCCAACTTGTAGGTGATTACATGAGTTAAATACCAAAGTCTACTTTACTTATCACCAGAAATACAATACAATAACAGTTCTTACATCGAACGCACTTCAATCAAGATGATTAAGACTCGAATCACTGCATCATCGCTTTACGCAGCTTGCAAATCTCACTGCCGATAAAGTGTTCTTGTTTAATAATGGCATTACTAATGGCATATGTATACTATAACTACAAATGTATTTTTTTAAACAAGCCCTGCGAGACGAGCAACCCAACACTGGGCAGCCGAAGTGGCAACAGTTTCTCACCGGCTAGCACAATTGGATATTCTGGCAAATCACAGTGGCCGCAGTGAGCGTGTTCTCTTAGCTCTGCAAGCGGTGAATTTGGCAGAAGTTACTGGAAACAGACACCTGTTGGCAGATACTTATGTTACAGCTGCATTAGTGTTTAAAGACTATGTTCCAAAAATTGGCAATCGATTGTGCGGGTACGTATCAGTCTCTCTGTAAGATCTTTGATTACTAGTGATCCTTGAAGATTTAAAAAGAAAATTTCGGTAAAAAATCTCTGAACAAGTGGTGAAAACTATTTATTAATGGTATCAGTTTTAAAACTTCAATTATTGCTAGCTACTTTAAAAAAATAAAACGTGTTCCCTGTATCCCATTAATTCCAAAATTTAAAAAAACGATAATGGCATTTGCATGCGACATAGGTAAAAAATAAACAACTACGACTAACAAGTGATGTTTATAGTTTTCTTATAGGATAGTTTCAAACAGACTGTAAATGATGTCATAATAAAGACAAATCTGTCGTAAATCATATAATTTATGTTTCCAAAACATCTGCAATAGTTTTTTTTGGCTCACTTATTACAGGTGAGCACATTTCCAATTTAAAAAACAAACCTATGAAACAATCGTACCGTAACCGTAATAAATAAATTATTTATTTAATTTTTAACTTATACCATTGAAACACAAGGTTGAGCGAGAATCGAACTCGCGACCTTTGGAAATTGGAATAGCAGTCCGTTACACAAACCACTACGACATCCGGTCGTCAAATTGTCAAGAGAACTGAGAGTTGCCTATTACATAACTGCAGTTATACAATAAAATGACTAATGCATTAAATTTATAACCGAACTTATTTTAGTTCATTGTTAGTTAAATAATCTTTAGTAAGCAGGTCTGTCCGTAAAGGTCGTCATCAATAAGAATGATGAGTATTATATATATAAACCTGTAATACTAGTTGTTTTTAAAGGAAATAAATAAATAAATATATATTTATAGTAATCGCCGGGTGTTCGATTTTTGATCTCATTAAATATTAAATGTTTATTTTAAGCACAATACAATTAGAAAACTATTTTGGTGTATTTTAAGCTTGCACTCGGCTTTGTTCTTCTTATTATTTATTGTAGAGCTTACATAGATCACTTATGTTGTTATATTAAAAATTCCATTTTTACATAGGTTGAGTTGCTGACCACTCACTCACTTTAATTGTACTTCAAACCCATATTTATTACACACTGCAGAACTAGTGACACGTCTAAAAACGTTTAATTAACCTATATATATTGGCACGCTGAAAATAAAATGAATAAAGGTTTTACTTTATTTTTTTTCCATTCGGGTACAAAATGTGCAAAGTATTGATATCGATGACCAATACAATATTAACAATATCCAAGCAATCAGCTTAGTAGTTGTGTTATCCACATTGAAAATTCGAATTTGAGTTTGTTGGCTTTCACTCTCAAACGGCTCAACCGATTATTATGTTTTTTTTTCATGGTATAGGGGAGCAAACAAGCAGACGGGTGACCTGATGGTAAGTGACCGCCGCCCATGGACACCTGCAAACCAATAGTCAGGGGGAGGTGGGGGTTTGGGCGCCTGTAACTTCAGTCTCTCGGAAAAAAACAACGAATTAATTAATAACCACTGGTTTTCTCTGAGGCCGCGGTATCACTCCGATCGAGCCGGCCCATTTGTACCGAAGCATGACTCTCCCACGGTACAAACTTTTGCATGGTTACATGTTGTGCACGGTTTAATAAATGTTATTAAGAAAAAATAGTCCCTAAGAATACCAAAATAACATTTAGACTTTTATCCGTTTTAAGAAATTTAGAAAAACACGAACCAAATCACGATCGCTTATAAAGCACTTTTACTTTGTCCAGAATTTTACTAATTACTACGAATCTGTTGTAATCAGGTACTATCTCCGCCTGTGTGGCGTTTGGTGCACGGACTCGCTGTCGGAGTGGCCCGTCCGGCTGCGCTGGGTGGGCAGCCCCCGCGGCATGAAGTTCTTGCGCACGCGCCGCTGGTCCTACGAGCGTAACCCTACAGCGGTCGCACTCTTCTGTCGACTCCCGGACCCTGCCGATCCACTTGCGTATGCTATGAGGGTACGTTACTTACACTAAGAAAACAAAGGAATAATAATAACTTCACACACACGGCCGTCTGATCCCAAACTAGATAGAGCCCGTGCTATGGTAACCAGACTGCTGATAAACGTACTTAACCACGGTACAGTATTCAAAAAATTAAGTCAAATATCATTTACAGTTTCCATGTTTAGAGCAGTTGTGAGCGGAGTTAAGGATAAAATTCCTTCCCTCTATCCTTTCCTTCACGAGTTCTATAATCTCTATAAAACCTCTTTATCAATAAAGATCTTGTTCTTTCGCAAGTGGGAGCTCAGCAGGGGGATTCCTCTTTTCTCGCTCGATAGCCTGATTGCGGCTATCGTGCGGAGCGAGAGTCCGTGGAACTCTGCCGTCTCCTTCTGCGAGCAAGTTATGCTCGCGAAGGAGACGGCGGAGCGGGACCGGGAGAGGTTTAGGACTCTCCCGAGCCGCCAGGGCCGGGAACGGGCCAGGTACCGCAGGCGACTCAGGCGCCGGAGGTCGCAGAACGACCTCCGTCCTCCATAAGCGCAGGCCGGGGGGTGACGGCACCAGGGACTTCCTTTCTAGGGTATACCTGGTTCCCCGGCTATTAGTACCCGAGACGGCGTGCGGTTTTAGTCGGTTCGAGTCCGACATGCCACCGACATGGTGGTATCCGAGGGGATCTCCGCATGGAAAAAAAAAAAAAAAAAAAAAAAAGGCCTGGGGGTGACAGGTGAGGCCATCTGTCACCCTAGCAGAAGCAGGCCGGGGTGGTGGCGAGCGCGTTGCGAAGCGCGCTCGCTTCCAGGGAGCACAGGGAACATGGGGTTCCCACACGGGGGGGGGGGGGGTCGTCGACAAAACTGGTCAAAGTATTGCCATAACCAAAAGAAAATATGATGGAGCCTTAATTTTTTTAATCGATTACATATCGATAGATATATAAAGTAGCTGGTACGCTTTAATGACTTTTAAATTAATAGCGCACGCGCGATTAAATGACTTAATAGGACCTAATTATTACACGCAACAGTTGTATCATCAGATTATTTATACTTTTCAAAGTGATTTGATTTTGTTGTACTTAATAATGATTTTATAGTTTATATTTTACATATTATTTCGGTTTGATTAAGATCCAAATCCATCAGCCTATCGCAGTCCACTGCTGGACATAGGCCTCTCCCATTGCTCGCCCCGTAGATCGATTAAAAAAACTTGCTAATAAAATATTACTAAATTAAATAAAATCCTAGAAGTGAATTTAAATACCGAGTGATCGGAAAATTAGAAATCCGAAAGCGATCCGTGAAAATCCGAGGTGGGCAATCATTGGCAGTTCCTTCGCATCCCGCCAAAGTCGGTGTCAAGGGCCCGTTTGTTTGTGTTTGAACTTGTACATGTGGCCTATGGAGGGTGGAGGCAAGGAGAACCATCTCTATGTATGAAAGCGCCAAATGTTGTTAGATTATTAATAATAATAATTAGGCACTGTGTACTAGTGACTGCGAAAATAGTGAATAAGTTTTATGGTCACATGTAATAAACACGTTTATTTATGATCTTTCAGACAATACAAGTATTTTAATATTTTAACTCAGCACACTTCACTTTCGTACGCCAGGGTCTTCTATTTTCAATATACAGCTGGACACTTTTTCAACTTTCCCCCCATATGAGATGGTTCTCGTTGCCTCTACCCTCCATACTTGTACACTGTTAATATCGGCATTTATTTAATTTACATTGTGGTTTTCGTGTTGATTGAGTCTCACCTCACGAACTGCCTCAAGGAAAATGGGAGAGGCTGAAGGCGCTGGATGTGAGCTCGCTGAGGCCAGGAAAGGGCGTATCAATGTGGGTAAAGTGTATGCAAGTCTCGGTACTACAGGGGAAAACCGCGCACTTCGCTGGATTCACCACCAAACCTAGCTCCTTGAGGCGTGGGATCAAAACGAGAAGGTCTTAGGCCACCACCTCAGACTTTCCACCAATAGTACCATCATCTAGGTACCACAGGTTCAGGGGTTACTCCAGCTTGGAATTGAACTCGTGGATGGCAAGCCTAAAGAGGAATCCCCCTTTTTTTTTCCGTGCGGAAATCCCCTCGGATACTACCTGTCGGTGGCATGTCGGACTCGAACCGACTAAAACCGCACGCCGTCTCGGGTACTAATAGCCGGGGAACCAGGTATACCCTAGAAAGGAAGTCCCTGGTGCCCCGACATACCTCGGGTCATCTACAGACGAGTAGACGACCCCCCCCCCCCCCCTGTGTGGGAACCCCATGTTCCCTGTGCTCCCTGGAAGCGAGCGCGCTTCGCAACGCGCTCGCCACCACCCCGGCCTGCTTCTGCTAGGGTGACAGATGGCCTCATCTGTCACCCCCAGGCCTTTTTTTTTTTTTCCATGCGGAGATCCCCTCGGATACCACCATGTCGGTGGCATGTCGGACTCGAACCGACTAAAACCGCACGCCGTCTCGGGTACTAATAGCCGGGGAACCAGGTATACCCTAGAAAGGAAGTCCCTGGTGCCGTCACCCCCCGGCCTGCGCTTATGGAGGACGGAGGTCGTTCTGCGACCTCCGGCGCCTGAGTCGCCTGCGGTACCTGGCCCGTTCCCGGCCCTGGCGGCTCGGGAGAGTCCTAAACCTCTCCCGGTCCCGCTCCGCCGTCTCCTTCTGCGAGCAAGTTATGGGACCGGGAAAAAAAAAAAAAAAGGCCTTAGGGTGACAGGTGAGGCCATCTGTCACCCTAGCAGAAGCAGGCCGGGGTGGTGGCGAGCGCGTTGCGAAGCGCGCTCGCTTCCAGGGAGCACAGGGAACATGGGGTTCCCACACGGGGGGGGGGGGTCGTCTACTCGTCTGTAGATGACCCGAGGTATGTCGGGGCACCAGGGACTTCCTTTCTAGGGTATACCTGGTTCCCCGGCTATTAGTACCCGAGACGGCGTGCGGTTTTAGTCGGTTCGAGTCCGACATGCCACCGACAGGTAGTATCCCAGGGGATTTCCGCACGGAAAAAAAAAAAGGGGGATTCCTCTTTAGGCTTGCCATCCACGAGTTCAATTCCAAGCTGGAGTAACCCCTGAACCTGTGGTACCTAGATGATGGTACTATTGGTGGAAAGTCTGAGGTGGTGGCCTAAGACCTTCTCGTTTTGATCCCACGCCTCAAGGAGCTAGGTTTGGTGGTGAATCCAGCGAAGTGCGCGGTTTTCCCCTGTAGTACCGAGACTTGCATACACTTTACCCACATTGATACGCCCTTTCCTGGTCTCAGCGAGCTCACATCCAGCGCCTTCAGCCTCTCCCATTTTCCTTGAGGCAGTTCGTGAGGTGAGACTCAATCAACACGAAAACCACAATGTAAATTAAATAAATGCCGATATTAACAGTGTACAAGTATGGAGGGTAGAGGCAACGAGAACCATCTCATATGGGGGGAAAGTTGAAAAAGTGTCCAGCTGTATATTGAAAATAGAAGACCCTGGCGTACGAAAGTGAAGTGTGCTGAGTTAAAATATTAAAATACTTGTATTGTCTGAAAGATCATAAATAAACGTGTTTATTACATGTGACCATAAAACTTATTCACTATTTTTGCAGTCACTAGTACACAGTGCCTAATTATTATTATTAATAATCTAACAACATTTGGCGCTTTCATACATAGAGATGGTTCTCCTTGCCTCCACCCTCCATAGGCCACATGTACAAGTTCAAACACAAACAAACGGGCCCTTGACACCGACTTTGGCGGGATGCGAAGGAACTGCCAATGATTGCCCACCTCGGATTTTCACGGATCGCTTTCGGATTTCTAATTTTCCGATCACTCGGTATTTAAATTCACTTCTAGGATTTTATTAATTTAGTAATATTTTATTAGCAAGTTTTTTTAATCGATCTACGGGGCGAGCAATGGGAGAGGCCTATGTCCAGCAGTGGACTGCGATAGGCTGATGGATTTGGATCTTAATCAAACCGAAATAATATGTAAAATATAAACTATAAAATCATTATTAAGTACAACAAAATCAAATCACTTTGAAAAGTATAAATAATCTGATGATACAACTGTTGCGTGTAATAATTAGGTCCTATTAAGTCATTTAATCGCGCGTGCGCTATTAATTTAAAAGTCATTAAAGCGTACCAGCTACTTTATATATCTATCGATATGTAATCGATTAAAAAAATTAAGGCTCCATCATATTTTCTTTTGGTTATGGCAATACTTTGACCAGTTTTGTCAGGAAAAATATAAAAATATGAAAACAATTTAATATCTTATTAGTTTTAAAAGAAAACCTGAATTTAAAACTATCATTCTGATGGCAGTGTTTTCAAAAATAAAGAAAATGATTTAGATATTTTTTTATCTCGAAGCTTGAAAAAAACCTGTACCCCTAATGGTCTCCTTTGGACATTAATTAGTATGGTAACAACTATTAATTATAGATGTTATTTGTTATCTTTTATTGCAGGCTTACCATTTAGAACTCCTCCAGAAAGCTCTACAAGTGCTCCTATGTGCTGACGAACGTAGCAACACACGCGATGTACTCGAGTTGATTAAATTGATCACCGATGATGTATCCACAGATGCGCCCCATCATACAGGTACGTAGTTTTGTGTAGAACTACCTCGATCGGTTTTCTGAGATCACTATAAGAGAATATAGCAAATAACTTTTAAAATTCCATACTAATAATATAAAGCTGAAAAAAGAATGCCCATTTCAGTAAAATCTGTTTCACACTTTATTTTGCTGTGCCGAATATGTATAAACTACATTATTAAGTCTGCATTGAGTATTATCTGCAATATCAACGTATATTGTATAGCACTTGCGGTTATTAAGAAATTAAATTTGAAAATATTAACAACGAGAATATATTGTGACACTGACGTTATAGCTTTTTTTTTAAATGTTTGTGGCAGCGTGTATTTGACAGGGATATCATGAATAAATTAATGCAAAACTAACACTGAAGTCGACATTCACTAAATAAAATATGATTACATACAATATTACTAAACTGCAATATATGTGTTAGTGTGACATTACCAATTATTATCAACTCAAATTATTATTAGACTATTTTTATTTTAAAACGATGTTTATTTGCATTTGGTCTCGGGTTCCATTCCCGGGTCCGGAACAAATGTTTGTATGATCTGCAAATATTTGTTTCGGAATTTGGATGTTTTCTATGTATAGTATGTATATATGTTTACATTTTTTTTTATTAAAAAGTATTCTATCAATTAATCTAGCTTTCATAGTACAAGCTCTGCTTAGTTTGAAACTAGATGGCGTTGTGTGTAAGATGTCCGAAAATATTATTGTTATTTAACCATTAATGGTTTATTTTACATAATGGCAACATTTAACTTAAAAACATAATCATTAATTCAAGTTTTAGTTCTTATTAGATTAATTTCAAACCCTAATTTCTATAGAAGAGATTCAGGGTCGAAATGTCACATTAAAATCCATATGTTTTTTTAACATTGAAATAATGACGTGAACGTCTAAAAGTGAAACCATGAATTCTCCCTTGTTTTGTTAAAAAAAAAAGTACTTTTAGTGTTAGATAGCCGATTTATCTAGGAAGGCTATATTATATCACGCTATGACAAATAGGAGCCGAGCATCAATGAAAAATCTATTAAAAATGTGGAACTATGTGTGGAATATGTAGATATTCTCATATGTGTAACTGTTTTTAACATACACTTGAAAAATAAACAGTTATTTTCCTTTTCTAACAAACTATCTAGCTGACCCGCGCAATGCGTCTGCGTCTCTCAAAAGGAATAAATTTACTCAACGTTGAATCTGTTTTTAATACTATTAATAATATATTTACCTTTTTTAATGTATTGTTACATCTTTGTACTATTTCCAGAGTGCAAGGTATAGCTTTTGAAACGGATTATCAGTATTGATTAAAAATATTCCAAATCTTAAATGAAAAGTTTGGCCTTAAAAATAAGTAGCTACTTACTACTTAAAAGACAGATGTGTTGCTAAAGGAACTGTTCCACCGCTTCTTCTTCCCAGCTAAACCACTAGGCGGTGGTGAAGAAATTCAACTTAATCATTTTAGAGTTAGGATATCATTTTATTTTCTCCTTTCCTATATATACACTATTGTAAAACATTAGGAGGAGCGGAGTCTCCTAACACAAGCTTCTCATTGCTTAACAGGAGACCCCAGCCACTGGATTATAAGAAATTAATAAATATATTATTATTATTTCTATTTCATCAAATGCTACAGACTATTCTATGTGCATCTAATACTAAATTACAAACCTTCAGGATGCTGGGATCCAGTAATGGAATGGTGGGCGAACATTGTCGGTGTAGCAGCGACATGGTTGCTGGCTGACACTGGCAAGGCTATCGAGATCGGTGATCGTCTGAACATGTTGCCCGAACCGCTGGCCAATTGTGAAGATCCCCTTCCTGGGTAAATATTCAATTTTATACTGTATACTGTACGCAATAAAGGCCCTAAAGGGGTGGATAGGATGACTTACTAAGAGAACACTACGTGGTTACAGCATAAACATTAAAAATCGTTTGTCTGGGCAACTGACTATCAAGAGCCTAATAAAGTCCTTAAAATATACCTAAATACCGAGAAGTATCGGAAAGCAACCTAAAGTCCTGCCTGAGACAGACAGTGTTCGCTTCGCCGAGTCCATAGAGTCACTAGATATTAAGGCTAAGAAATTACTCAACTGAAATGATTACAAAATACATTCATCAGATAATAATGAAATATACACATACATATGGGCAAAAAATATTGAAAACCATTTTTTCACTGTTTAAATTTGTATCAACGTAAAGCGAATATTAATGAAACATTAAACCACGAACCACGGACGGGTATAATAAAATCAGGTCAACAAAATATAAATTGAAATGGACTACCATTCAACTATCTAATTAACAATGAGAAGATTCTCATACATGCGAAAACTTAGAAATCCTAGTCGTGCTACTGTTTATAAAACAAAAGTGTATAGTTTATAGTTGTTGTATTAATAACTATTGTCTTTCATAGCATAAACATTAGTGGATGAAAATATAGCTATTGTACTATTATTTGTAGGGCACTGCATATGGCATACAAAAGCCGTCGTGGCCTGTTGAGCCTCGCTCAGTGTCGAGATGAAGACTCCTTCCATCGGACGGCTCAAACGATACTCAAGGTGTGTGCCCATTTAGTTTTTACTCATTTAAATAGTACATTCGCAATATAGTGCCGTATATAAAATTATAGTGTGTTTTGTGAATCGTGTGGCTCCGTTAGTCAATATATTAGTAAAGTGTAATGGTGGTGTATTGTTTTAAATTACATTGAAAAAAAAACTATTTATTTGAAGAAAATAAAGAAAGTGATAAAGGCTCATTCTTTGGTTATTAAATTTCGAAGATTCATTTAAATTTCGTTGTGTTTATGCCTTATTTGACGATAGTTCCTTAAAAACTTACTTGTCATAAAATTTCACTTTATTTATCTATTTTGTTTTATAAATTACCTGGTCATTCTAAATAGGTTGGGTTCTATAATCGAATTGAATTAAACAACCGAATAGTTTACTTTCATAAGACATTTAGCAATAAATCGGGAATTAAAATATTAACTATCTATACGTAACTTTAAATAAAATCTTGTTTATATTTTTATTTCAACAATTCATATCTGTAAACACATATATAGTAGACGGACACGGGGATTTTGTATATTGCGTTAGTAATGTCTTTAGTCGTAACATTTTTGCAGGCAACTCTATTTTCGTTTGCCAGGCACTTTTCCACACTCCTTACTGCTAATAAGAAGTTCTTAATGGTAAATCCTGATAACGAACAAACGGTCATTGAACCCAGTATCTCTCGCAGAAATAAACGACAAAATAAATACTTAGTACTATATATGTTGGTGTAAATTACTCTTTGTGTATAAACTATTTTTCTATTTTTCCATTAGAAACCTATCAATTTTACTGTTTTGAATAATAATAACTTGACAAATATCACACACGGCGGTCTGAGCCTAAACTAGGCAGAGCCTGTACTACGGTAACCAGTCTGCTGATAAACATACTGTACACATATTTCTAAATACATACATAATATAGAATATAAAGATTTCTAATTTAAAATATAAATAATATATGGGCCACATGTCTTTAAGTAGGTATAATATATCTAACAACTCGCCCTTTATAAAATTGCGGCTTAAACAGTAATTACTAATAAAGAGCTACTCGGTGAAGATATAAGATTGAAATAATGTAATGTATAAAATGTATGTTATGTATTTACATTCTAAACTGCGGTTAGTTTATTATACTGTATGTTTATTCTCAAGACAATTGTACCAATGCAATATGTTTACATTGCAGGTGTGCGACATCGCTGGAACCAGGTTAGCTGATTCATTGGCTTACTACTGTTGCCGAAAGCCGACGCAGTTGATGCTGGTATGTATTAAACTTTACGTTTATATTTTATGAATTTTCTGTGGCTATTTTTAGCTTACACTTCATAATGCCTGCGAACAAAAGTGCATTGAAATTCTGTAATAATTTGTGCATCATAAATGATGCAGCAGAGGTGTCAGTCTGCAGCCTAACTTAATTTAATTTAATAAAAGATGCTAACTAGATAATTATATACTGTTAGCGATTAGATAAATCTTGGTTTTTAATTGTACAATTTTGTAGTTCTATACCATTTAAAGTTTATTGAAAGTGTCGCAAAATTTAATAATCTTCCTCTAAAATTTGGATACTTAACACAAAGATAATTTGTAACATGACCAATATATACTCATAATCTGAAATTAACTAAAAATCTTGGTTTATTTATAATGTAATATTTAGAAGTATACCTATATCAGAACATTAAATAAGTTAGTGATAATCTTGCATGTAACATTCTCAATACTATACTTATACAGAGAGTTTCATTTCCTTTCACAAATACTTAAGCCACATATTCTACCCTTAATTTCTAGGCGATTTGCAAAATATGAACAAAATATATCCAGTAGTTTAGCCACAGGACTCATTTTTGTGTTTCGTAAATTGCAACATCATGTGTGCATGCAGTCATAATACATTAACCTCAGGCGGCGATCAGCTGTACGCCGCGCGGCGCGGTAATCACACGTTGCCGCTTTTACTACACCCGAATCGAACGAAATATGTTGATTATTACGTCATCACGATGCAACACGCGTTTTTAATTAGTTCATCCAGTAAGGACAGTCAGTCGGCCCTTGGCCACCGGCGAGCTTATGCTATTCCGTATCTTTGTAGATGCGCTCACGACAAATAACCGTAATAATAATATTGTTGTTGTTTATGAGATACATATTTGTTTAGAGAAGTTTTCTTGTGGTAATAATTGTTTAGTCTTATTGCTTTCGTCATAATACACGGCAATGGTGTGAACAAATAATGTTATCGTGTGCGCAAGACTTCGTAATGTAAGGAGTCCTGCTAATTTTATTTTGAAAAGTCACTATTAGGTTCTGTGTGTAGTGTAGTGTGAAACTGAGTGCATTATCAGTCTTTTAATTTTATTGGGTTATCGATATCAACATCCATAATGCCGTGAGTGACCTTCACAGCCGCGGAATATCCTGCTATGATGTTAATTTATGGAAAACTCTATCAAAACGCATCTTTTGCTTTACGGACACGTATGGAGTCAATCGTGTATGTCCTACAGACTGCCGAATTTTTGTAAGGGCGGTACAAAGATTACGAGACAACCAAGGTAACTACTTTTTCAAGGAGTGACGCGTACTGCTGGGTCGGAAGCTAGTCGAGCATTCACGAAATAAACACGTGAATAAAATCGCATTCTTTATAAATAGATTTTTAAAAGCAAGTGAAGTGATTGGTAGGTAGGTAATAAGAATGTAAAGTTCCCGGCTCGCGGCGGCGGCGGCGGCGCCGGCGGCGGCGTCGTTTTGATGTCGCCGACATTGCGACGCTGCCGTGTAGGTACAGTTCACCGACTCATGTTATCAATGGTGTTCTAATTCGGAAATTATTTTATTGTATTTAGTTTGTTCTAAATTTGCATTTCTGTATTTTCGTACTAATTTTTTATTTTTTTATTTTAACCGACGTATATTGAACCGTGTTATCTGTTATTTCATTTTTTGTGATATCTATACCGCCACAGTGTATGACAACATTGCTTTGATGGAAATATACAATTCACAAGTTATCTAACTGTAAAGTTAGATAATGTACATGTAAAGTGTAGATTTATTTTTAAGTATTTAAACGATTATGTAACTTTAGTATAAATACAAGGTGTCTCAAAAGAAAGTTTATATTTAGTAGATCGATTAAAAAAAAAGTAAGCAGTGTATCGAAAAAATGTTTATTAATTATTAAAGTACACAATTTGGGAATTTATTTCTTAAAAATAATATCGTCCAAATGTAGACCCTCGCGTTCGCAGCACTCATTTAATCGAACAGTAAAATTACTTATGACGGCTCGGCAGGTGAACTCAGTGATGGCTGCCATTTCGTGACGGATATTTTCTTTCAAATGCGCCAGGGAAGTCGGTTTACTCGCGTAAACTTTAGATTTAAGATAACCCCATAGGAAAAAGTCCATAGGGGTTAAATCAGGACTGCGTGGAGGCCAATTTATGTCACCTCTCCTGGAGATCAATTTTCTCGTGGCAGAGACGTATTGGACGTGTGTGACGTTGCTCCGTCCTGCTGGAACCATGTTCTTTGGTTATATCCAGGAAAGTTTTGCAGTTCAGGCGCCAAGAAGTCGTCAAACATCTCCACGTAACGCTCTGAATTCACTGTAACTGCACGCCCCCTTTCGTCTTCAAAAAAGTAAGGGCCGATAATTCCTCGCGCCGACATCGCAGCCCATACGGTCACTTTAGGCGAATGAAGGGGTTTCTGATGTTTGCGTTTGGATTCATTGCACTCCAGTAGCGTGAAACATGAAAATGAGCTTCATCCGAAAACAAGATGTTGGTAAATGTTGAAAAGCGCTCAATCGCCTGATTTACGAAGTCAAGCCTCTGACTGGTATCTTGGGGCTTTAATTCTTGCACCAATTGAATTTTGTAGGGGTGCAGCTTTAGGTCTTTGTGCAAAATGCGGTGTAATGATGATCTATGCACATTTAAAGCACTTGCGCGCTTCCGAATTGAAAGGTTCGGGGCGTCACGAACAGACTGATTAACACTCTCCACGTTTTCTACCGTTCTTGATGACCTTGGTCGCCCGGATTTTGGTTTTTCCAGCGTTGTACCGGTCTCTTCAAACTTTTTGACCCATTTTCGAATAAGAGGAATGCTTGGCGCATCATTTAAATGGCGAAAACCTCGAACACTACAGAACCTTCTACGTGCTACAGTCGCCGAATCACCGTTTTTGTAAAACTCTCTCACGCACAACGCACGGTCTGCTCCCGAGAAATGCTCCATAGCGACTGAATTCCCAAGAGCCAGGCTACCGCTTGACATAGCCCCCGCGCCCCTCGGACTCGTAACGTTCACACAGTAAGCTAAATAAATATAAACTTTCTTTTGAGACACCTTGTACTTTGGCCTTGAAACTTTTTATAACTTTTCCTAGGTATCAGATTTTTTTTATTTCTTATGTAAGTATGTGCATACTTACTGACATAGTTATTCTTATGTTGGGCATATATATTTCTTTGTTAAAAAATTCTACGCGCGCGCTACATGTGTCTACTTTGCCTTAGGAATAATCCGCCACTGCACAAAGTGGCTAAGTTATTATTATTAATTAGTATGGGAGGATAGACACAATATAGTCGTGGTTAACCATTTAATGCGCTCAGGACGTCGTGAATAATCTTAGTTTATTAAATTCTGCAGATCATCGCATATTAGTGATGATGCGATATATCGCAATGTAGTTAATGATTAGTGCAGTATTTTGCGCTTCACAGTCTCTATTGCATTGCGAATCTGGCGTATTGGTCATGCTGTAATGTATTCGCTTTTTATTATAATTATAATCTCTATGTCTATTTCAGTTCTTTTTAAGAGTCGAAGAAGTATTATGACTATTACGGGAGTGCATTGTAGTTGCATTGCACTGGTTATAAAGAGTTGTGCAATATTACTACAAGGCAAATCTCGCATTAGTTGCACCCGTCGCCTCGAAGCTGATATATTTGCATGTTTCTTTGTTTATTTTTTTGCATGTTATTTTGTAAATTAGCATTTTTCACAGACTTAACGGTAAGTAGTTATAGTGCCTATACAGCAACTCAGAACGTGAGATACGTTATTTGCAATATGTCGACTACTTTTCTACTTTCCCAAAGAGTGTTCGCTATTTTCTAAAAGCAAATTCTAAGAAATTGTGTTTTGTCTATTATTATACATTAAAACGTGCTTTTTGATTTCTGTCACAACTTATGAAAGCTTACGGAAATTAGGAACTTACGGCACTAAAAAGCTCAAATCAGAATTTCATAAATTCAGTCTGGATATTTCATACTTATTATTTACTACACTATTAGATTTGCAAAATAAAATTAATTAAAAAAACACTCATATTCCTAACATAGTTTGATGACTACTCTATTTTTAATTTTCACCTATAAAAGTATACAATAAAATATGACAAATCATTTTGTAGTAAACCTTTTAACTCTCTAATATTATGTGTATTAACGTCGCTACCTTTAAGTAAACTGATATAGAGTTACGTTACAGTTAATGCAAGTATTATGCTGTGACTGGGTGTTGGAGGTCCGCGCCGGCGTGTGGGAGGCGAGCGCGCCCGCGCCCGCCCCGCACGCGCAGCTCCGCGCCTTCCAACGGGACCTGCACTCGCTACGACGTCTCTCACAAAACTTGCCGGTACGTTTGGCACCTATTGAAATATCTCATACCGGCCTTTCTTTGCATTGTCTACCGGGATAATGTTAGGAAACGTCAAGAACTGTGCAATCAAATTCAGAAAGAAAGCCAAATGGTAAAGCCAATAGTTCCTGAAATAGGCATAATTATTAAAACGAAAACGGAACTTAGATAATAAAACGGTACACGCTTAGTGATCTTGAATGAATCTTACTAGTTAAGGTTACACCATTTTTACTCAGGTGTGTATTTCAGAGATACTCCAACTTTATCAATAGCGTAAAATGAATTTCCACGTCAGTAGAAAGGTCTTTGTAAAGGCAAATTTTTTTTGTAATTTTCTTTATAGAAGTATAGTGTGAAGCAACCCGATTTAGTTTATCGTTAAGACTATGACGACTATTGCTCACCATTCCGCCCTGTCCATCAACGTGGTAGCGATTTGTAATAAACATTACTAAATTTTTTTTTGGTTTTTTATTCAAGTGGGTGACATCTCGAGTATTCCTGCAGTCGGCAGTTTGCCGGATGATGGCCGGAGCTGCACCACGCCGTACGCAACAGTTGTTAGACGGCAGTCTTCGACCGCGATTTAATCGTTCCTCTATTATTTGTGGCAAAGGTATGTGCAATTTGACTACCAGTAAGCGCTAATGGAAAATTAATATGTATAAACTCTTCTATACCGAAAAGTTAGCGAGCATGAAGTCATGAGCAGCAGTAATATATATTTTTATATAGAATTTATGTGCTAACGCTTTTAAATATGCGTTCAGTCATTTCTCTTAAGTCTTAACTCTTAAGTAAACCATGATATCACTTAACTCGATTGGCGGGATGGTGTATAGATTTTTTTTATTGACTACTACTACTTACTAAGTAAATTTTCCATTCCTTATCATCATCAACAACAACTTCTAGTAGTCTGCTGTTGGAGATCGGCATTCCCTTCCGACGACTCGGTATAGGGTTTGTTTCAAGTTCTCCTTCTCTTTGCTATTACCCTGCGTAGTTTGCTTCTTTAGTATGCTCTTACGACATTACCATAGAGATATGAGCATATAGTGAACAAGAGCCCCAATCTTGCAATATTTCTGATCTCCCGCCCGTTCTACGTAGCTTAGCTAAACAGAGACAGAGCATACTATCGGGCGTCCATCTCTTTCGTCGCCTATATCGCTTCCGGTCACAGGCAGCCCACTATGCTCATACGTGTCCGATCGGCAGAGCGAGCCCCGGAGGGCGGCGGCGGCGACGGCGAGCGCGCGGTGGCGCTGTACATGGCGTGCGCGCACCTGCCCGCCGCGCTGCTGGCCGCGCCCGGCGAGCGCGCCGGCATGCTGGCGCAGGCCGCCGCCACGCTCGCCAAGATCGGCCACCGCAGCCGCCTGCCGCACTGCTACCACCTCATGAAGTCCATCGGCACCATGCCCGCTGCGCCCTGAACCGCCGCTGCCGCCTATTTATTTGTTACGTCGATCGATCTAATTCATCTACCACGACGGACCTTATATATGTTGTATTGTTTTTAATAACATACCGTTACGTTCACCGGTAGTCGTTTTTATTAGTCCCTGAAATAGACGCTATACTTGAAATAGTACCAGAAAATGTTTATAAAGGTTATAAATTAACGTTTATTTTAAAATGCGGTAGATACAATGGAAATTATAATGCGCACTTAAAAATAAGAAAATGGAATGATTTAATATTGCATATAGAAATTCAGAAAGTTGAATTTTTTAAGTACTGTACGTTGTGTTTTTGATAATTACGCAACAGCTAAGATAATCTTATTTATCGACCTGTCATTGTATGAGAACGTATACCATAGAAATTGTAATAATAAGACTCTAGAAGTCGCATAGACGCCGCAATGATGTGTTGACGAACACCACTTACAGAAATTCACACCATTCGTGATTTAGTTGCGCGGTTCATCGTATGTGAATTTATATTGTTAAAATGGTTAACTGCTGCATAATGGGTTGTAAAAACTCATCAGGGATATGTAATTCAACAAATAAAGGCATAACATCTCATCGGTAAGTTTATTTTTTACTAATAAATCATTGTTTTTACTAATTTACATCTCGATGCATCTTTAATAAGCTATTTGCTTAATTTATTACTTTACGTTTTGTACAATAACTATTGCTGCTTTTGTTCTTATTGCACGCGATGTTAAGAAACTCGCCAAGCAATATAATGTGAAATATTAGACATTGTTCTGCATATGTTTATTATACGGCTACAAGCATCGGTCGCCAGTTAGTGATGTAACCGTACCCTTCATGTGAATGAAATTATAGTTCATATCGGTTAGCATAAAGATATATTTTTCAGATTTTCGAACGTAAAAAAACTAAACGATATATGCACGTAAAATATACTTAATATTAATTATACAATAATTTCATTAGAAATTTAATTATTTGTTTAAGTTTGCGTATCAGTCTATAAATATATAACATGCTGTTAAATGTAAATAAAATGTTATCTTTTTAGAAATCATAAATAATTATCTTATTATGTACTATGTAACTATAATTAATTTCTAGACTCCCGAAAGATCCTGATGTTAACGAAAAAGGGGTGAATATTACTGGTAGACTAGATTGGTTCCCTACAGAAAATAGTCGAATATGTTCAGTCCATATTATCTTTTTATTTTATTTTTTATTCATTAGATTTTTTTATTGTTTCCTAAGTGTGCGCTGTATAATGGATTAATAAAGTATTTTGACTGTTAATGGATATCTTGATTTTAAATAATTCTATATTTAGAAGTATAATTTAAAATATCTCACACACGGCCGTCTGATCCCAAACTAGGCAGAGCCTGTACTACGGTAACCAGACTGCTGATAAACATACTTATGTATTTTAAATACATAAATATATAAATAAATAAATACATAAATAAATAAATACATAAATACATAAATACATATTTATAGATAAATTACACAGGACAAATGATCATGCTCTTCACACAATATTTGTCCTGGGTGGGAATCGAACCCACGACTTCCGGCGTAGCAGTCAGGGTCACTAACCACTAGACCACCAGGCCAGTCAATATTACATTACTGTTAAAAGAAATAAAAAAATAGTATATATCTATAGTTTTTATTACTACTTGTATTCCATTGTAATATATAAATAAATATCGACACCTTCGAATAATTTAGTGTATCCCTAGCATTGTTTACGTTGCTTCTAACAAATCGAAAGAGATTGTAGTGATGCCAAATAATAAATCGAAGTAAATTGCAATGTAATTCCTGGTACGGTTTATAATAGTTTACGCCCTATCCATTTTAACCGTTGTATCGCAACTGTGTGCGAGTCGTATATTTATATGTTTGTATTTTGTGTATGTGTTAAGACGCGGCGACATAGGTTTTGGAAATAATCGGACACTAATTCATTTCTAGTGTCTTATTATTACGATTTCTGTGGTGTATACCATGAGAGCTAAATTGGTTGATGCTGTAAAACAACAACAAATTAAAACTTAGTAAATATGATTAAAAATTCGACCACCACGCGAACTATACATAAATGTATGTATAATAATATTATAAATGTGAGAGAGTGTTGGTTTGTTATGCTTTCACGCCTAAACCACTAACCGATTTAAAAAATTCTTTCACCGATGGCTGCATTATCAGCGACCAACATAAGCTACTTTTTACCGCGATAACCGACACATACGGCGGAGCCGCGGGCAAAGGCTAGTAATACATAAATCATTAAACGAACTTTTTCGAAGTCTTGTGCATATCAGTTTCATTGCAAGTTGCATTATTTTATAACCGACTTAAAAACGAGAACGTTCGGTGCATTTCTTACGTTTGTTACCCCGGCAGTCTATCAGTTATGAACCTATTTGGACAATTAGGAATGTTAACAGGCATTATATATACAGATACACTGGTTTTTGTTTTTTTTTAATACCAAATAGTTAGATTTTATATGAATTTAAAATTCGCATAAATATCGAGTTCCGCTAACAGTCACGTGACTGCTAGTGACGTCAATTTCCAACGCTCCGCTTAGTAGAAAACCTGTAAATTTGAGATATAAAAAAAAAATACCAATCGACGTATCTTAAATAGCACTTTCCAAAATTATTTATTATTAAAACAGCACCCTCTTAGTTTACGAGTAAAAAATAAATAAAGATACTAAATATATATATTCAAAACTTAATGGATCTTCTAATACTGTTTCGTCTACACAGCAAGCAAGAAATATTTCTCCTGGTTTCTCAGCTGCATCTAACGTAAGAACGAACGAAGTTTCGAATTTGTGAAGAACTGAACCCTTTTTAGAATGTAATCTTTAAAGGTATCTAATCTCTTCATAGCTTGTAACCATTTCTTTCGCATTTTGACATTCATTGGAACGAGAGATGGTTGTATTTGTACATTTTGGTACAACACATGATTTTCCAGTATTTGTATTTCAATTTTTTTTTATTAATTATAATTAAACGTAAGCACAGAATACCTAATAACGCAAGGCAGCGGTACGGAAGAGCGGGAACGGGGCGGTCTTCTTGCGCGTTTACTTTAAAATTATATATCTTGGCAAATAATTGACGTATCGAAATAATTCTTTCACGAGTATTTTTTATTTTCAACGGAGAATACAGAAAGCTAACATTCAAAATTATTGAACATTTTCAATTCTGTTTTTAGTTGAAATTAATACTTGTTTTGCAAAATAAACAGCAGCTGTTTGCACTGATCTCGAAGTTTTACGATTCTAGTTCAATTGCATGAAGTGTGGAGGCAAGGAGAACTATCTCTGTGTATAAAAAGTGTCCGTCAAAATCCGTTAAATTGGGGGCGCCACAGGAGCACAAGGATAATTTTATAAAGAAAGCGCTAAAAGTTGTTAGAATAGGATAGAGAAATAAACATTGAAAGAAGAATATTGTGAAAAATTTATACATGCTTAAATAATAATGAGACACTGTGTACTAGACTCAGAAAATAGTCAATGAGTTTTACAGACAATAAATACACGTAATAACTTTCAGACAGCAAAAGTATTAAAATATTTCAACTCGGCAAACTTCACTTCGTCCAAAACAGCTATGTTCATAACGTTGTTTTTCGTAAAAACGATTGTCAAGATCCTATCGAAGAAGATTCGAATCATCGAACCAACTCAGTTAAGTACCGGTGACGGTGAACATTATGTTGACCTACAGCTAGTAAAACCGTGCTGCGCGCTGCTTGTGTACGGTTTAAGGTGACTTTAAATAAGGGGACATAAAAAGGATTCAAATATTTTTGCAAAAGGCACCAGATACTGTGGAGAAAGCGTAGCGAACATTTCACTTATTTCTTGACCGTCCGATGTTATTAAAGTACTGTATGTCATAATTACCGGCAGTGAACTAGTTCCTCCTCTTTTCTGTTTTATGTATGTCCATAATCGGTTAGGATCTTTAGAGAGTTCAAGTTCAATCTGGCCATGATAAGTAGTAGCACCTTACATTTTGTGCCGAACAACGTTTACTAAGTAAGACCAGTTCAAGTTTAGTAAGGGTTTTGTACATTTTATGTCGACTTCTAACCTTGTTTTTTTTAATGCTTTAACCAATGGTTTATCAAACCATACGGGCAATTTTGTCGATTTAGCCTTACACAATGGAACACAGATACCAATTACCTCTTCAATTTTGCCATAAAAAATATTAACCATTTCATCGACGCCGTGGGCAACATTTAACAATGCAGTTCAGTCCAACTCATGTAGGCATTTTTTAATGCTTGCGTAATCTGCTTTGTAGTAATTTACTTCTCTTAGTACTTTTATTATAAGGTAGTCTTGCATCTGCGCTCGTACGTATGGTAAGCAACAAGAAGGGGTGCAACAGATCAATTTTGCTTAACGGGTTCGTTGTCTCAGTAATAATGCAAGAAGGTAAGTTGGTTAATATGAGATCTAGTATTCTACCATCTTTATTTGGAACATTATTAGTTTGCGTGAGTTTGCGATAATGCCTAAGTTAAAGTCACCTGCTATACTCTTACATAATCCACACTGTTCAAAAATAGAACTACTAGGCTAACTACTAGCTACTTGACTAATTGTTCTGTCAATTGGAGCATCAACAACAATCCAGTGGTCACAACGATTTTCGAATATACGCATATGCTTTGATCTAAATTTCTTTGAAATCGCAATCAAAACCCCTCGCCCATCTCTCTTAGGTACTTCCTAACCTGACCGACCTATAAACAATATTTCTACTGTCAAATAACTCTGTGCTCATTACAGAACTATTTAACCACGTTTCGGTTAAAATTATTTTCAGAATGTGTTGAAAAGTAATGCATAGGCAAAATGTATTGAACCAAAACAAACACAATACAAAAAAGCTTGATTATATTTTTTCACACAACCATTATTTCGTTTGCGTCTGCATTGCCCATAATCGCGTGCAATGGGAGAGACCTATGTCCAGCAGTGGACTGCGATAGGCTGATGATGATGATGATGATTATTATTTCGTTTAAAAACAACAGGCGTTGGCGCCGATTCTTTCTTTCTTTGCACATTACTGCATAATGCTTATAATTTACATTCACCGTTTTAGAAAATTAAAATTAAATTATATTTTCACTCTATATCCATTTTATCATTTTTATATAGGGCGACAATGGTAACGTCATTTCTGTCAAATGTTCAGCTCAGCAATATTTTATTTAATGTTATGGTTATTTGAATTGGAAATATAAATAGCAGTTAGATCAATTAAGTCAGTAAGCCCCTGTTACTAAAGAAGTAAGGCAATGATACGTATCTTGTAAGTTAATGCTTAAGTATTTTATTCTAAAAGAGAGGACCAGAATTTAGACATTATGGTAAGTGATTCTTAACAGGTATTGATTATACTAAAGTCGCTTCGTATTTATTTTTCGTAGATATGTGCCACCATATTTTGATGATTTAGATAAAAAGTACAAATAAAAATAAATTTTACTTTAAATGTGAAATTATCAAGTTAACTATTATTACAGGCAACTGCCGTAGCTAATGTTCCAAAGAAATCCGTGGGTTCAACAAATTCTGGTGTAAGGAAAAAGTCGGGTCCTAAATTTGAACTAACTGAAGAACAGAGAAGGGATATTAAAGAGGCTTTTGATCTATTTGATACAGAGAATACAGGTAAAATAGACACTAAAGAATTGAAAGTTGCCATTCGTGCACTGGGTTTTGAGCCCAAGAAAGAAGAAATAAAAAAGATGATAGCAGAAATTGATAAAGGAGATGGAAAAGTATCATTTGAAGACTTTCTTGAATTGATGACTGTTAAAATGGCAGAGAAAGATACTAAAGAGGAAATAATGAAAGCATTTAAATTGTTTGATGATGATGAAACTGGTAGGTACCTATATTCACAATAATAATATACCTCACACATCCTACACATGGCCATCTGATCCCAAAATAGGCAGAGCCTGTGCTTTGGTAACCAGACTGCTGATATACATACACATAAACATACTTATATATTTTTAAATGCATACATATTATAGACTAGCTGACCCGCGCAACTTCGTCTGCGTCTCTCAATAGTAATAAATTTTCTCCGTTTTTGAAACATTCTTCATTATTGCTCCTCTCCGTTTGGTCTCAGCGTGATGATATATAGCCTATAGCCTTCCTCGATAAATGGGCTATCTAACACTGAAAGAATTTTTCAAATCGGACCAGTAGTTCCTGAGATTAGCGCGTTCAAACAAACAAACAAACAAATAAACAAACAAACTTCAGCTTTATAATATTAGTATAGATAAATTACACCCAGACACAGAACAAATGACCGTGCTCATCACACAATATTTGTCCAGGTTGGGAATCAAACCCACAACCTCCTTTTTAGCAGTCAGGGCCACTAACCACTATAAACAATTAAATTGTTATAACATGTTAACAGATGCCATCGAATTTCAATGTTAAAAACACTCATTAACGGTCACTGCTTCACTATTAAGTGTTGCCTAGTGATTGTTAATAGCTTTAAAGTTTCTTTGAGAGTAAGCTGTATATTAAGGCAAGAATTTTTTAATTCCTACAAATAATTTCTGTGGGAACACCATACATGGCCCACAGCCTCGCAGCTGTGGTTGTGCTATGTTGTGTCTTCCTAGTACAAAAAAGTTAATGATAAAACATTGACCTTTCTCTAGTTTCTCAAATTTTTATACTATGAATGAGTGAGTGAGTATGATATGAGTTTTTTAATATATTTTAAATTAGTTTTGGTCTAGAAATAAACCAAAATTATCAAAATGCCATGATTTTTTTTTGTGGTTTTAAATGAAAAGTGGTAACAATAAATTATGAGGTGAACAATTTGTGGAGTTTTAATTTTAATATAAAGGTATTTAACAATATTAAGAAGACTATTCAAGTTTTAGGAAGCAGCGCAGGAGGAGAATTAGTAACTTTTGTGCTGTAACTGTCTGTTGTACTATCACAGTTACTTACACTACCTTAGAATAAAGGAAATGCTCATTAAGTCATCATTCAATCATTTATCTTTACAGGAAAGATATCATTTAAAAATCTAAAGAGAGTAGCAAAAGAACTTGGTGAAAATTTAACAGATGAGGAACTACATGAAATGATAGATGAAGCTGATAGAGATGGTGATGGGGAAATAAATCAAGAAGAGTTTCTTCGCATCATGAAGAAAACAAGTCTCTATTAGCTAAATGAAATGGCCTACATTGTCAATGGTGCACACTATTATATACAGGGAAAATCATCTTTCTTAACATGTTGAAAGTATAAGCAAGAAACCAATTAAGAAAAATTTACTTATGGTAACTCAGCAGAACATTATAGACTTATTTAAAGTCTCTATTCTAAAAGCTTCTTTTTAAGCTGTTCTTCCCAAGCTTTAGATAGATTTTGAATTGGCATTCAGCATGTAATTAAAAAAAACAATGTCATAAAAAGTGTCAATATATGTTGCTATGGTATTCTCAGCCCTATACAATAAATTTTTAGTTATACTGATTATCATTTAGGATTATTTGTAAGTTATTGTAAACTCTTATGTAGCAGTATTTTGTTTACTTTACTCTAGATCTATCAGTCCAATTTCTCATTGGTCAAAAGTACTTTGACTTCTATAGCTCTAAAAGACTTCCAAAAGTTCGGAAGTCCTAATAATATATATACAGAGACATTTTGCATTCTAAGTAAATAATAATAATAATAATATATCTCACACATCTCACACACGGCCGTCTGATCCCAAACTAGGCAGAGCCTGTACTATGGTAACCAGACTGCTGATAAACATACTTATATATTTTTAAATACATACATATTATAGATAAATTACACCCAGATACAGAACAAATGACCGTGCTCATCACACAATATTTGTCCTGGGTGGGAATCGAACCCACAACCTCTGGTTTAGCAGTCAGGGCCACTAACCACTAGACCAACAGGCCTGCCACATATGTCACAAAATCAATCACATATGTTAGTGTAGGTAGGTATATGTTGGCATAAATGTCTTTTATGTTTTAAGTGGATCTAATAATAATATGTGCTTATATTTTCATGAATCTAAGTGTGTATTTTATAACATAGTTGGCAAAGTATTGAAAACTGAAGGCCGATTCTCGTAATAAAACGTCGGTCGAATTTCAGTTTCGATTAACATCGATCTCACAACTGTCATAAAAGGTATTTTCTTAGTATCTAGTAACTATTTTACTACGAAAATACCTTTTATGACAGTTGCGATATCGGGCAAAGATCGGAACTAAATTTTGACTAAGCTCAAATTACGAGAATTGGCCTTCTGCTGTATGACTAAAAAACTAAAAATATTTATCAAGCTAATACTAAACCAATGTGTTTAGGTACAAAATCAAGCAGTATGTAAAAAATACTAAAATATTCTTAGATCGGTTTTTTATGCTGACAGAGATGAATGTAGGTTTATTGTAAAATTCTAAGTATTATGTTTACACTTATTAAATGTTTTTGTAGGTGTCCTTATAAACTACTTAGATTCAGTGTCTAATTATCGTTTTTTTATGTAAGTGGGTACCAAGTGTTTGATTTTTTTAACATAGTTGTGCCTAACAATTATTGTAGGGCTATTTAGGGGAGGACAAGTAATATTTCGATAAATATTGACCATCTAAATTTTATTGAGTATTAGCATACAGACACATGAAAACACCTAATCTATGCAATTGCCTTAAAAGGCACTGTGCTCAATAAAATAATTGTGTATGTAATAAATCAAATACCTGTTATAAAAAGTTTGGGTTTATTATGGAAAGAACTAATTACTGTTACATTAAAGTTAATCTCTGCTACAGAGATGTTCTACCTCAAATTTATTTTCAGTACCAAACTTAAATTTTGCCAAAAGACATTCCTTATAAGTGGTAAAATTAAATAAATGTAAAAAATATATATGTTTTACTGCTACCCTATTGGTTAAATTGATTTTATTATTTAATGATAAACATCCTAAAGTTACCCTTATATTCAGTACTGCTACTGTATAGAGTACAAACGTAGATTATAATAGATAATCAATTTCCTCACAATACTTAATATTGCAGCTTTGGTGTCGCTAATTATAATAAGGATGTCGAACAGACACTTTTCTCTCGTACAGACACAAATTGATGTTATTAGGAATAGAAAAGTATTTTCTGCTCCTCTCCCTCTGGCATCTGGCACCTACCAGTTTAGGCTTTAATTTCGGTAAGCCTTAAAAAAAACTAGTTGATACTGTCACGAAAAATCACGCACATTCCAGAAAAATACCAATACCGTTCATCGTTTTAATAATAATGCAGGGTGACACGGAATACAGAGTTTTACACCAATACAAATACGCATAAAATCGAAAATAGATTGCCGAGATATCATCGTGTTTACATTTGAAACGAATATGTCTTTCTCAGAAGCGGACTGTTCTCGTAGAGATTGGAGTCTGCTAGAATGTTCTTTTACGAGTTGTATAAAAAAAGTCCGTCTTCATCGATGAGTTCAGTTCCAGCAACAGTGTGATAAACATCGAATCGATTGAAGCGAATAGAAGTGTGACCCAGCGACCTCGAACAACACTATAGATAGTTGAGCACAAATAAAAGGATAGCAATCAAAAAGGAAAATTACGAGAGTCTGCAGATTTAGCTTGATAGTACGGGCAGCTTCTATTATACATTAGTTGCTTACCAACACTAGAGCCAGAATAATGTTACGATCAGGGTTTATAAGAAATAAAAGTTGTTGGTTAATTACTTCTATTCCACTGTATTTACAAACACTCACTAGTCCACACAAGAAATCACTATATAACTCGTTAGTCGCACTAGAAATTCACTTCGATGTTGATTCGCTATGTCGTAAAACGATAGTACTGTGTCGTACGGCCAACACGCTCCGCTTTTAAGGTGCTATCGAATTTACAAGAATGATCCCTAGTATTCGATAGTCCGTTCCAGACAAAAAAGAATATTCCAGTATCAGTTTCGCGTTACTTGCAGCGCAATCTAACGCTGTAACAGAATTATTAATCAAAATCTCAATAGTTGTACTTTACGTGATACTAGATGGCGCTGTCCTCCACATTCCATAGAATTCTGGAACAATCGAACTGCTAAATCCTAAGGCGCAACAATAATAGTAATATTTATTTTAGATATTGTCCATGTTTTACACGTTTATTTTACAATTAATTATTTATAATAGGCAATTTAGGAAAATACTAAAAAATAAATTAATATAAAATGGAAATCACAACAACGAAAAAAAACAAAAACAGTTACCTCGCTTCGGTTGCCTCAATGCTGAGGGTCGTGACCGACTCCACGTAGCAAGAGTTTGCTGTTGTTCACGGCGCTACCCGTCCCTATCTGCCACCGAGTGTAGTGCATCGTGGACTGTGGTGTCGAGAGTAGTGCGAAACTGGTTAGTCCAACGTATCGGGCTTCTTCCTCGTGAACTTTTTCCATCCACTTTACCATTAACTTCTCCAAGTTGCCGTCATGTTTTCTGAAAATGTGGCCGAAATATTCCAGAACTCTACGCAGGCAGATGGTAGAAAACCTTGTATGTATCTTGAGTTCTTGCAGGATTGACACGTTGGTGCGATGTGCAGTCCAGAGAATGCATCATCAATCGAATGCGGTCACGATCGGCTTTCTTCAGAGTCCAAGTCTCCGCGCCGTACAAGAATATGGAGAACAGATGAGTGCGTACAAGATTGCTCTTGGTTTTCAGAGAGTGTTTTTGTCCTTCTATATCCTATAAAGTTTCGCCATGGCCCCCTTTGCCTTTGATTCTTCTTCGTATCTCGTTTTCGCACGAGCCATTACTACTTATGCTTGCGCCCAGGTATACAAAGTTGTCAACTACCTCTAAGTCAAGATTCCCTGTGATCTCAAGTTTGCCTGTGCGATCTTTGACCAAGATCTTGGTTTTTGGACCTGTTTATCGACAGACCCAGTTCAGTGCTGATGCGTTTCATCCTATCCAAATAGGTGATCATCTCTGCTTTAGTTGATGCTAGTATATCGTATGCATATCGCAAATTACAAATTTTGCGACCACTGATGATGATGCCGTGTTGTGACGGATTAAGAATACAGTGTCACCTCTATTCATCCCGTGGGTGTCGTAAAAGCCGACTAAGGGAGAAAACTAAGGAAGAACAACAGCACTAGTAGGCCAAAACCTCCTTTCTAAGGAGAGGCCTATGTCCAATAGTGGACTATTGAAGGCTGTTGATGTGATGTGTGATGGTGACGCCTCCACTCCAGTTATTCCAGGTACGCCTCATTATATATTCACCGTAAATATTGAAGAGGATGGGTGAAATGATGCAGCCCCGTCGAACTCCTTTTCGAAACTGAACGGTTTAGATAACGTCCCTCCGATCCTCACCATTCCTTGGCTGTTATGATAAAGTGACTACAAGAGCACAGTTAAGTAACGAGGTACACCCAGATCTAATAAGACCCTTCGTAGACAGATCCACTTGACATCGAATGCCTTGCTGTAATCAACAAAATATAAAATAACAGGTGTGTCGAATTCGTATCATTTCTATACATTTTTTCATAAACGCAGAATCGCTCTTGTTTGTGTAAACATGCCAGAGGCACTACAGAATTGGGGTACACCCAACATCCCAAAGTCATTGTTATACTGAATACGTAGGGCGTCGGCCGATCTTTGAGTACATCTGACCCACAAGTTGCTCGTGTAGAAAGTTGGACAGTAAGCCTTAAAAAGTGTGTCTTTTACATCCTCACTACAACGAGCGAACCTGTGGGCCAGCATATTACTCCTTAATGCCATAGCCCTACGTTCTCTTTCAACATCAGCTTGGTCTTCAAGGTCATAATGTGCACAAGATACATAAAGAGCTATACTTTTTTTAGCTCTATTCCATTTAACTTTATTGGTGGCACATTTAAAAGACACTTGACAGGGGCTTTGAAAACCAAGTACTTACTCACTTTTTGTACAATTAAATATTAGGCCGTGCTTATGACATTAATAGGTTTCGCATATGGCTAACAGTTTGAATAGTGCATCAATAGTTACTAAAATTGCAGTAGTGCGCATAGCCAAAATTGCTGATGCAAACATTATCAACGAAACAACCAACCTTGGGACTGCTAAGCTCAACCAGAAGCTCGTTTACGTACAGGTTGAATAGCTTGGGAGAACTCAACCTACCTTGTCTCATCCCGCACTCCATCCTGTATGCGTCAGACAGTGTTACACACAAAAACATAGGGTTAAGTGGCCTAACACCACTTAACCCTATGTCTGGTTATTGTACCAGCATTGAAATAGAATTTGCACCTGTCTTGTTGAGCTTTTGCCACAAAATATCATATGATGATACAAGGTCAAAAGCCTCTTTCAGGTCCAAAAATTTGCATGAATAGGTGTGCTTCTCTCTGTATAGAATCTACTGCACAGTGTGCTTGATATTTAGTATCGCAGTTGTGGTAGAGAGACCGCGACGAAAGCCAAACTGCGCGTCATGCATATCTAGATGTTTTCCATGTTCCGAATCAAGCACACTGTCCAACACCTATGGTTATTTAATTGTGATAGATCACCAGTTTTGTTTTTCACGATTGGCATATTAATAGTTACCATGAGATCAGTGGGTAGGTAGAAGTGACTCAGGCACAGTGTTATGGCCTTGGCGTGCCATAGAGATGTGCTGATAGCTTACATTACAAAATTATCTCTTGTTTTATTATAAGGTGTGTTTATTCTAGAGGAATTGTTCGGACATACTGGTTGAGGCTAGCCGTCATCGCTCGATGCGGCAAAACATCCAACCTCATCATTTGGATTGTTGGTCATCACAGGGCGCGCTGGAATCTTTTTGCCTTGCACAATCAATCAATCTTAAATCTTCAAAAGCGTACCTACTTATACCTCCACAAAACGGCCGAAAAAACACTCGTGACCCAGGGTCCGAGTCCAGTCACGAGTGTTTTTTCGGCCTTTGAAAAGTGACTACCGCCAGCCATGGACTCAGGAGTCCACGTCACTTTTCATCAGGTGACCTGTCTGCTAGTTTGCCACTTATATCATAAAAAAAGGTTTACATATGCGCCCCTTATGTGACAATCGACACTGGTTACACACCAGCATGCTGTACGATGGCGTCAAGATCATAATATGTGTTACATAACTTTTAAAAACAACATTTGCATTTGTAGTATGCACATCAGGGAAAGTTAGTAAAAAATATATATCTGTAAAATTGTTATATTAGGTTACATTCAAGTACAAACCTATTTAAATGCTTTACAATGATATACTTTATTTACAATAATGACTCAAAAAGTCATACTAACACTTTTATAATACATAGCCATACTTTTATAAATCAGCCTTATCATTTTAACATGTAATTGTGCAGTGTCCGAGTTAAATGATTAGAGAAGTTATGAAACAAAAATTAATATAGATACATACATTTGATATATAACTTTGTATTTTTGTAATTACTTGCTTTAGTTAGTTGTTAAAAATTTACAAAACCACAAAAAGGTATATTTAAAAAAAACTTATATTATCTATTACACATTTACTAACTATAACTGAACAAATCTTACAATATTAAGAATTATAAAGATAAAATTAATCACCTTGGCAACTTTATTTTCATTGTATCAGAAGCTTGTGCTTTTTAGCCGATAAAAAAGTTGGAATTAATGAAAAATGCCATGTGTCGTCATTAAGGCATTAACCAGGCAGGTTGCTAAAAAGCTCAGTAAAAACAGACAATGGGTGAAAAGTTATTCCACACTTTAAGGTCAACTGTTACCTTCCACACATTCATTAAGGCTTATCTCTTCTAATAAAGAGAACATAAATAATGCGTCACACTCACATCTATAAGGCTAAAGGTCTATCACATTAATAGCTTAAAAGGCAAGCCTTAAGAAGTTACAAACATATATAATTGCTGTTCATCTGTGTTAGGTTTCATACACAATGTATAAGAAAATAAATTTTCCTTACATTTTTTCTTTTTCATGAATTTAAACAATGTTATAGTTATTCTGCTATATGGGGTGGCATCAAATCCAGAAAATCAAACAAACATCTGTCCAGCCATTCTTGAGTTATGGATTCTTTTACTAATCTTTTATTTCTTCACTATTTTATCTATCTGTAAGTCCTACTAATTAAAATATTTTTCAGATTTTTAAGTGTCACTATTAGGTAATATAACTCATTTTACATACTTTTGTGGATTAGTAAAGATTATTTCGTTTGGCTTTGGATAGGCAGTATGGATTAGGATTGAATTTTGCATATTAATTTTATCATCACTGTAGCCTTAACATTCTTATTACAATGAAAGATGTTATGTACATAATATGACAATAATGAAATGAAAGATGTGAAAGATTTCTTGAGTTGTTTAAAAAACTAACAATCTAAATTAGATTATGAAATGAACATATTTCATTATAATCACATCAACAGCCTTCAATAGTCCACTGCTGGACATAGGCCTCTCCTTAGAAAGGTTTTGGCCTACTATACTATGTTGGCCAGACAGGTTGGTATAAGGTTTATGTCAAGTTTTTCTTCTCTCTGCAGTGCTGTTGTTCTGCGTAGTTTTCTCCCTTGGTCAGCTCTTACGACACCGACAGGATGAATAGGGGTTGTGACACTGTTTTCTTAATCCGTCACCACACAGACAGATCATATTTAACTAAAACTAATTTTCTTACAAAATCCTATGATTGGCCTTCTCTATACAAGTTAATGTTTAATCATAAGAGACAATTTCAAATAATTCAATCCATTTGAGATGCTGAGATGATATTTAGACTATGACTTTATATAGTACAGCCAAAATTATTTGTTCTCTAGACAGGTCAAGTATACTTAATTATTTACAAACAAACAACCTAATGCTAAACTATGTTTTTGTCTAGAGTGACAGTCCAAAAAGTATTTTTTTTCAACTAAATATTAAACATTGACTTGTATCTCCACCGTAAGTGTTCTTAAGAATATTTTATATTTAAAAAACAGTCAGTTAATACATGTATCCCATTATGAAGTTTTTCTATGATTTTTTCCATTCTATTAGTTATTTTAAAACATTATAAAACCAGAGTTCATACAGTGATAATTATGTTTTAACGGATCTCTCTCGTCATAGTCATATCTCGTTCAACAACATGGCCTTCAGGTTGACCAAAGAAAGCTTTATAACACATGTTAACAAACAAACCAGTTTCAACAACTCCAGGGATCATCGTTAAATCTTGGTTAACCTTCTCCCACTCAAAATCTGTATTAGGGAACACCCAGTCTAAAATGAAGTTACCATTGTCAGTAACTACAGGTCCTGCCTTTGCGATAGCTTTGCGCAACTTCGCCTTACCTCCAAACATAGCTTCAATCTTCTTTTTAATAGGAACATATGCCATTGGTACTACTTCAATTGGGATTCCCTTTTTATACCTGTCGCCTAACTTTTTAGCATCTTTGGTATAGTCTGCAATAACGATGAGTTTATTTGAACACGAGGCAATTATTTTTTCTTGAAGTAAACATCCACCGCCACCTTTGATTAACGTCATTTTACTATCTACTTCATCGGCTCCATCGATAGTCAGTTCTATTACTGGGTTGGTGTCCAGCTCACCTAATGGCAGGTTATGTTTGGTAATTAGACGTTTGGCTTGAAACGACGTTGGCACGCAGGTCACCTTCAAATTTTCTGTTTCAACGCGTTCTGCTAAACGCTGTACCGCGTATACAACCGTAGAACCACTTCCGATGCCCAAAATTGAATTATTAAATACAAAGTTATCTACTGCATAGTTTGCAGCGACTTGTTTAGCTTCTTCGAGGGACATTTTTACTTTATTATTGCTGAGTAGCCGACAAAACTTAAAAACAAACACACTGTGTTTCAATGGAAATAATATTGGGATTTCACACAACATTCATTTACGTTATAAATTTTATAATAGTGATCTATGCTATCATGCTATCAATGTAAAAGGTTTTTATGTTTTAGATAAAATACCGGCGACCGGCGTTCCCACCATATCAGTGACACTGACACTGACAACTGACAGCAACATTAATTCATTTTCTGGGTAAGTATCGGATCGGATCGGATCGGATGAACACTTGCTTTTTTACGAGCATTCGGGAATACACTATCTTGCAAACAACGATTGAAGAGGTAGGTCAAGGGAGGCACCAAAGTATGACGACAATTTTTCAATAACAAGGACGATATTCCATCCCAACTGATTGCACAATCAATCCGTAGTTGAAGGTCGTAGTTTAATAAATATGTTATAAACTGTCTCGATGGCGCAGTGGTAGCGTATGCGACTGCTGTGCTGAGGTCTCGCGTTCAATTAACGGGTCGGACCAAATGTTTGTATGATCTGCAAATATTTGGGAATCATCAATCAGAATTGGGGTGTTTTCTACGTATGATATGTATTTTTTCCAAAAAAGAATATTAGTATTTTATCAGTCAATCTAGTTATCATAGCACAAGCTCTGCTTAGTTTGAAACAAAAGGGCGTTGTGTATATGTCAAATGTCTAAAAAAAAAATATTAAAGAATATTCGAAGCTGTTTAGGAGAACTTTGCAAATTGGCTAAGTCTCGTTTTATAAGTTCAGATATTAAAAGTAGCAATAATTAGATTAAAACCACATGAAAAATATATATTTTTAGAACTTTTTCTACTAATATAACTGTATCCACATGTTCAAAGATTTAGTTAATCTTTGATCATGCCTTGCGGAATCATTTTTGAAAGATAATGTTAGTAGGATTGATGGTGAATTTAAGTTCCAATATGTTTCCGCCCTTGAAGTTATTAACGCCTTTAAGATAAAAATATTAATGTTAAAAAGACAACCAACCTATGTGGAAATTCTGTATTAATTACTAAGACAATAATATATCTTGTGGCTAATCAATTGGCATTTACATTTAATCAATGTGATGATAGTAGTGTATTCCTTCATTCAAATCTGTTAGTGCATCTGACCCTACTAACTTTAGACATAAACATTCTTATTACAATTAATCTATTTATCTATTTTAGTACTACCAGTATTTAGCATAATGTTTGAAAAAATAATGTATGATCAAGTTTTTTTTTAATAACAATATTTTATTACAAAACAGACACTTTGGTTTTACAGGGGGTCGCTCAACAACTGATGCCAGTGTTGAGTGAATCAATCATATATTTGATGCCTGGCAGGATGCCCACGATTCTCTCGGTATCTTTTGCGATTTATCTAAATGTTTTGATTGCGTTGTTCATAAAACGCTGATTAGGCAATTTCATCAGTATAGTATCAAAAATAAAGCAGTGGAACTTCTTGATTCGTATCTAAATAAAATAGGATTCAGCAAGTTGATATTTCGGTCGCCGGGCTCTGTAGTAAGGAATGGTAATGGGCGTTCCACAAGGTTCTACTCGCGGCTCCTTTTTGTTTTTAGTATTGATACATCCCTATTATTTAGACTAAAACGCACACTTGTTAATTTTACAGATGTGAACAGCACCATTTCCAAAGTGGTATTCATTGGTTTGACGTTAACAATTTGATTTTAAATGAACAAAAAACTAAATGTATACGGTTTACTGCGCCAAACGTCAAGCTAGTGAAAACTACTCTGATGACTGAGGATGTCGGGTTAGACCTAAACCTAGAACACTAAATTCCAAGCTGCAGTGGTACCCATATATTGATAAATTATCGAGTAGACTCACCAGAGCAGCGTAATTAGTAAGGAAAATTCGAGAGTTGACTGATGTTGATACAGCACGACTTCTTTACTTCAGTTATTTTCATAGCATAATGTCATACGGTATTCTACTGTGGGGGAAAGCTGCCGATATTCTAACTATTTCTATGCTGCAAAAGAGAGCGATTAGAGCAATAATAATAATATATGTATATATTATATATATGAAAATGCCCCAAACACATATACGTTTCGTATAAAGGTGTATCAACGTTGTCTGTAATGTAATTATTTGTGCCAATTCTAGAATGAGCAGAATCTAAATTGATAATATTATAATCATTCTAAAAACACCCTTTTATTTTAAGTATTGGAAATCTTTTCCATCATTAACATAGGGTTTTTCTTCTCAATAAAAATATAGACTGAGCAGTTTAGTGACACAATTAATTTTACCAGTTTTTGAATTGAATCTTCACAATACTATTTAATTACAGAGCAAGAAAAAGTCAGTAAAAACTTTTCTCGTATTCATGACAATTGTCTCTAGTCGCCATAACATTGATTGACATATTTTAATAATTTGATATTTCTTACTGTTTAAGGCATAAGTATTTTATATTTTCATTGTACATATAATTTATAAAGAAACTAAATTTTCAATGGACTAAATATGGTACCTGCGACATAAAAGCAAAATGACCTCCAAAGATATTGAAGAAGCTGAACAAATGAGATGTGCTCTATCAGCCATAGCTGATGAAGTTCAAAAGTGGGTAAAAGTAAACTAATGTAAAATTGTGGAAACATCGCTTCAGAAAAAGTTGAAAAGCTGTGTTGAATATGTAGCGTGAACAAAACTAGTTATAAACGTGGTTGGGGCGTGGCTTTTACCCTTTTTAGAGGACCTACGCTTAACTCTTAGTTAGAAATCCTTATAAGAGGTTTTGCTTAAGTTGTAGAGGTAGGAAATGTTTGGTTAATTCCTAGACCCCTTTACCTAGAACTGTTGACCACAATGTATGTTGGCTTTTACAACACTGATTAGAAGTACCAACATTCAGCAGATTATAGTTTCTATAGGTATTATATGAAAGCAATCTTAAGTGATTTTGTATTTCTGATCAGATGCAGTGCGTTGTCTTTTTTAAATATTAAAGTTAAAATTGCAAGGAATGAAGTTAATAATCTATGTGGAAGCACTTCTAAGATACATTTTTCTTACAGGTTTCAGAATGAATCTTTATCATCTAATGAGGCAAATGATAAAATACTTCACAATGAAAAAATGTTTAATGCGGCATTAGTCCAATGCAAAAGTACTTTAAAGTTAAAACAAGAACAGATTAGATTTCTTAGACAACATTTAAAAACAGCATGTGGTGAGTATATATTTGATTTGATATAAGTAATACCCATCCACTATAAAGATTGTTAGACCGAAGCAAAGAAGTTCAAGTTCGTAAATCTTTATATGTTGTAATGATTCAGAACTTCAACACTCGTCTAGCGCATCAGGCTTCATAGATTCACAATTGAACCACACGCCAACAAGTTAAAAAAAAAAATCTAATATTATATTCATGTAGTTTGTTTATAAAGCACGCAGCCTTTGTACCAGACATACTTACAAGTAACAGAAGGTACACTGTAAAGACTCTAGCTATACAGTGGTTAAATATTTTTCGTAATAATATTTTAAATGTTTGCGTTTCTTTCTAGTATATGCTAAAACTCTGTCGGTAGCCAAAGAGCGTGAAACTGCTTCACTCAACAATCAACTGAATAATACTAGAAGTGAATATTGGGATTTAGTAAAACAAGAAAAAGATAAAAATAAATTAATTCATGACTTGCAAGCAGAAAACGAGACCATCAGGGATAACTTACGATACCTTAATAATTTCATTCGACTAGGCTATCGAGGATTACAGAATATAGCAAAAGACAAATTGGAAGATTTCTCCACTCTAAAACAGTTACAAAAGATTATATTTTTCTGTGGTCAGTACTATGCTGATTATTGTAATGAAACTGAAAAATGCAGGCAACTAGAACAAAAAAACAGATTCTTAAATAGTAAACTGCGAATTTTAGAAAGTCATTTAGAAATAGCTATGAACAACCAACGAAATTCTAATGGGAATGGCAAATGTATGGATATGCCTATGAAACAATTACCAATATCAAAACGACATTGTTGTAACAGTGTTTGTGCTGTAAGTTCTGAGTCTCAAATTGGACACCGTTGCTGCATAAACATGAGAGAAATACAACTCAATAGGCAAATACTTGTAAATAATAATAAAAAAATTGATTTAACCAGTCATTTGGGCACAGTTAAAAAGCTCCTGCATGATCAGGACACTTTGCTAAAAGATTTGAAATCTCTTTCAAATCAAATAAATGTTGAATTGTGAATGGAATAAAATAAAATTGAAATTCTTTTAAACTGCTATTTTCATAATTCACTGAGTTTATTTTAGGAAAAAGAATTGATATTGTTAGAACATAATATTGAAGTCAGACGATAGAATTTATTTATAACTTAATGCACATTTGTAAATCGGCAGACTTAATGCCCAAGGCGTTCTTTCCCATTCCACCATTCTTTAGTGTAGAAATCGTGAGTGGTAGGCGCATATAGGTTATAACACTAATCACTAAGATATACACCACACAACACAACACATGATTTTATACACAAGCAAATACACACTATACCCATATATACACACACATATATACATACACATAAATATAAATACACATATAAATATGTATCTACACACATACAGACATATATTCGCATTATATTCGTACACCATGAGTGTAGGAAAATTGGTTGCTGCACTATCGATTCGATGATTCTGCCGTCTCATTAAAAAGAAGGTTGTGTACTATCTTTTTAAATAGGGAACGGTTTGTGGACATCCTGACTTCAACCGGGAGCGCATTCCAGAGTAGAACTGCTTAATCGAAGAGTTCACGAAGTCGGAATCGTGAGAGGGGCATAAGAGAAGCAAATTATTTGCAGAGCGAAGATTCCTGTCGTAATTAGACGACAGGAAACGGAGGTATGTAGGTGAGGATGGGGAGGTAAGAAATGAATATAAAGAAGTCAGAGCAATTTCCTCGCATACCTGTATTTATAACACTTGATACTATCAGATTTGTTTATGGGCAAGATTGTTTTATTGATTAAAAGTAAATAAAATCCACCTCAACCCCTTCTACCCACCTTCGGTTCTATAAATCTGTCGTAAAAGACTGCCTCATATTTGTTTTCCTCAGGACATGGCATTCGTAAGAAATTAGGTACCTCGGTACGGTTAAATGAACAATGACAGTTGGACAAACCAATAAAGACCCGAATCCCCGAGCATCATTTACCAAAATCAACTACCTACTTCACCTAAGGCTCCGAGCTAGGATATTTCTGTGCTAAATCTGGCCTGTCTTTGTGAATGGCAGTAGATTTTGGCACAAGGGGTCAGATTAAAATCGAACCGCTCGTTCTGAACCTTTAGTAGGAATATCTCGTCCACGGTTCCATGACTTGCATAAAATCCTGTGGTTGATGATCGTGATACTATGAAAATACCTTTTATGACAGTTGTGAGATCGAAAGTTGATGCAGACAGTCCCTCCCGCTCGAGTCAGCGGGAGGGGGGATTTGGTCTTCGGTAACCTTACTCACTCAATGAAAGGCAACGAAAGAATTGCTTAACACCGGTTTTCTGTGAGGCCATGGTATCACTCCGGTTGAGCCGACCCATTTTATTAAGAGAATTGGCCTTCTGATTAAAACCGTGCAACAGCGGCACGTTCTGAACCTTAAGCACTAATATCTCGTCCACGGTTGCATGACTCGCATAAAATCCTGTGGTTGATAATCGTAATCCACACACAATCCAAGTAATCTATGATATCTAAGATAAAGTAACTTTCTATTCATTGTTTGAGTCTACTAGAATATTGCATTGAGAGAATAACACATGGCATGTTAGTGTTCAATCGTTTTCGTAATTAAATATTACTTTCTTATTTATTATTATTATATCATATTTAGTTTAAAAATAGGTGTTTACTTCAGTGTTTGAAATTGAGAAAATGGTTTTCCTTCTTAAACTTATAAATGGATCAATTTTATACTTACCCAAACAAAGTCGTCATTACAATCAAACTTAAAAATGAATTAATATAGCTGTCAGTTCCGTGTAAGTTGTCAGTGTCACTGAAATGGTGGGAACGCCGTTCGCCGGTATTTTATCTAAAACATAAAAACCTTTTACATTGATAGCATGATAGCATAGATCACTATTATAAAATTTATAACGTAAATGAATGTTGTGTGAAATCCCAATATTATTTCCATTGAAACACAGTGTGTTTGTTTTTAAGTTTTGTCGGCTACTCAGCAATAATAAAGTAAAAATGTCCCTCGAAGAAGCTAAACAAGTCGCTGCAAACTATGCAGTAGATAACTTTGTATTTAATAATTCAATTTTGGGCATCGGAAGTGGTTCTACGGTTGTATACGCGGTACAGCGTTTAGCAGAACGCGTTGAAACAGAAAATTTGAAGGTGACCTGCGTGCCAACGTCGTTTCAAGCCAAACGTCTAATTACCAAACATAACCTGCCATTAGGTGAGCTGGACACCAACCCAGTAATAGAACTGACTATCGATGGAGCCGATGAAGTAGATAGTAAAATGACGTTAATCAAAGGTGGCGGTGGATGTTTACTTCAAGAAAAAATAATTGCCTCGTGTTCAAATAAACTCATCGTTATTGCAGACTATACCAAAGATGCTAAAAAGTTAGGCGACAGGTATAAAAAGGGAATCCCAATTGAAGTAGTACCAATGGCATATGTTCCTATTAAAAAGAAGATTGAAGCTATGTTTGGAGGTAAGGCGAAGTTGCGCAAAGCTATCGCAAAGGCAGGACCTGTAGTTACTGACAATGGTAACTTCATTTTAGACTGGGTGTTCCCTAATACAGATTTTGAGTGGGAGAAGGTTAACCAAGATTTAACGATGATCCCTGGAGTTGTTGAAACTGGTTTGTTTGTTAACATGTGTTATAAAGCTTTCTTTGGTCAACCTGAAGGCCATGTTGTTGAACGAGATATGACTATGACGAGAGAGATCCGTTAAAACATAATTATCACTGTATGAACTCTGGTTTTATAATGTTTTAAAATAACTAATAGAATGGAAAAAATCATAGAAAAAACTTCATAATGGGATACATGTATTAACTGACTGTTTTTTAAATATAAAATATTCTTAAGAACACTTACGGTGGAGATACAAGTCAATGTTTAATATTTAGTTGAAAAAAAATACTTTTTGGACTGTCACTCTAGACAAAAACATAGTTTAGCATTAGGTTGTTTGTTTGTAAATAATTAAGTATACTTGACCTGTCTAGAGAACAAATAATTTTGGCTGTACTATATAAAGTCATAGTCTAAATATCATCTCAGCATCTCAAATGGATTGAATTATTTGAAATTGTCTCTTATGATTAAACATTAACTTGTATAGATAAAGGAAAATCATAGGATTTGGTAAGAAAATTAGTTTAAGTTAAATATGTTCATTTCATAATCTAATTTAGATTGTTAGTTTTTTAAACAACTCAAGAAATCTTTCACATCTTTCATTTCATTATTGTCATATTATGTACATAACATCTTTCATTGTAATAAGAATGTTAAGGCTACAGTGATGATAAAATTAATATGCAAAATTCAATCCTAATTCATACTGCCTATCCAAAGCTTAACTAAACAATCTTTACTAATCCACAAAAGTATGTAAAATGAGACACATAAAAATCTGAATAAATAGGCTTATAGATAGATAAAATAGAAAATAAATAGAAGATTAGTTACACCATCTTTAACTCAACTTTTTTAGATTTGTCCCTACCCCAAATAGCAGAATTACTATAATTTTGTTTGAAGTCATGAAAAAGAAATTTAAGAAAATTCATTTCTACATACATTGTGTATAAAACCTAACACAATGAAAAGCAATTAAAATTTGTATGTTTGTAACTTCCTAAGGCTTGACTTTCAAGCTATTGATGTGATAGACCTACAGTCTTGTAGATGTGTGTGAATAATTCTGTTCTCTTTATTAGAAGAGATAAGCCTCAAAAAATGTGTGGAATGTAATGTAACTTGGACTTAAGGTGTGGATTAACTTTTAATCCATTGTCTGTTCTTACAGTGATTTTAGCAACCTGCCCGGTTGATGCCTCTTTATGCATGTTCTAATGACGACACATGGCATTTTCAGGCATTCATTCCAACTTTTTTATGTGCTAGATTTTTATAAATATACCTTTTTTTTGTGTTTTTGTAAGTTTATAACAAGATTATTAATATTGCATATAAATAATCTAAGCTTCATGACTACTAACTAAAGCAAGTTAACACAAAAATACAAAGTAATGTATCAGATGTTGTATGTATCTTTAAAAATGGTTGTTTCATATCTTCTCTAATCATTGAACTTAGACACTGAACAATTACGTCTTAAAATGATAAGTTCATTTGATAAAAGTATCATTTGTGACTAAACTTTTTGGGTCACAATTGTAAATGAAGTTTATCATTATTTAACATTTTAATAGGTTTGTACTTGAATGTAACCTAATATAACAATTTTACAGATATATTTTTTTACTAACTTCCCCTGATGTGCATGCTATATGCATATGCTAAAATATGTTTAAAAAAAGTTATTTAACATGTTATGATCTTGAGGCCATCATACAGCATGCATGTGTGTAACCATTGTCGATTGTGGAACATGAGGTGACATTATATGTAAACCTTTTCTTAAAATATAAGAGCCAAACGAGCGACTACCGCAACCCAAGGCCGCCTGCAACTCAGGACTCACGAGGTCTTTGTCGGCCTTCGAGTTGTAAGTGTGCTCTTGAAGATTACAAGGTAAAAAGATTCTAGCGCGCAAAACGCGCATTGAGAAAATTAAAATAATAATATAATAATAATTATTATATTATTATAATATTATATAATAATTAATTATTTTTATGGGACATCTGACTCAACTAAGTAAAGCTTCAACCTAAGTAAAGCTTGTACCTACCTACTATGAAAGCTAGATTGATTGATAGAATACTTATCTCCTTTTTTTTAAATACGTACATATACATAGAAATACCCAAACTCCGAAACAAAAAATTGCAGACCATACAAACATTTATTTACCGAGCATTTAGGAATTTAATATACAACTACTATTTCTAACCTTATTTTAATAATAACCTGGAGGATTTTGGCAAAAACTGTTTGGAATCTCTTTTATAAAGGACATCATTCAAAATGTACCCAAAAATTAAAGTGCCGGCCAGTAAAAAAAAACTGTCATCTTA